ACTAATCTATACGTATAAATGAAAATGTTTGTTCGTTCTACACTCCTAGGCCATTCGGCCTATTGCTACGAAACTTGGCAGTTCCGTTAATATTCTACTAACTTAGATAACGTCGTACTGTACATATCACTCCAAAATATTTATTGGATTTCTATATATGAATTAATTTTTCTCTACATTGGATTTGCTGGGTTTACACGTAACGTCATCTAATGGCAAACATTTTTTTAAAATAATAAACTAAATATAACTCATACAAAAAAGAATATAATTAAAAAAACAAAACAAACATTATATTATATTCACCGAATTACTGCGAAAAGCATATAGCGAGAAGTATTAATAGATTCACTATATTACTTTGTTGAGTAGCACATAGCACTAACCTGCATGCAGTCGAAACTGTTACACTGGTAGATGGTCCTGGGTTTGTGGATCATCAACGGGCTGGTCACGGGGAGTTTTCCGGGTTTTCTTCAAGTTAGTACACCTAAATAAAGGCCAGTTTTCCATAAAACTCCGGGGAGGCATCTCCTCGGCAGATCGCCCACGTGTCGCGTAGCCGTAACCAAATAAACCAAACTAATCGTAATAATTTTTATATAAACTCGATATATACGAGAAAAAACTTCCCACGTAATTATAGGCATTCCGATAATGTTCTTAAAATTGGTTTTACTACATATATTTTTGAAATTTACGATTAATAACTCCGGATGTAACAATTATTGCGAGGGGTACTTTATAAACCTGGGCGAAGCCAGGAGTAACAAGCTAGTTAAAAAAAAATGAAATCTTAGAACTCCCTAGGGAATTAAGAAAAGGGCAACACGGCGACAAAGGGGGTAGGCGCGTGCCTTAATGTACTGCTGTCTGTTGATTCTTGCCATTAATGCGAAACAGACATTATCAAGCCGTTTACAATCTGCCAATATTTATCGTGTCCAACGTATCGGATGAAGACTTGAGTAGTGTAAAAAAAATACATTGAATACAATTGGTAAATATTTGATCGGACCATCAGTAGAACGTCCTCATACCGTGAACGACTTGGTAACGTAGTTGGGCCTAAAGTTACTCGGAACATATTACTAAGTTAACGTTTATTTGATTATTATAGACTATGTCAGACTGATTTTCAACCGGTGTGCCGCGAGAGGATCGTAGGTATGCCGCAAAAATTTTTGAACGTTATTAAATAAATTATTTTTGAAAGCTCAAAGAACAATTGAGTGTACAGTACATGTCAAAATTAAAACCTCTGAAAAACTCGTATAATCAATTTAAATTGTTATAACAAATAAATGTATACATAATGTAATAAAAAATATATATTTATAAGCCAAATTATATGTGCATGACACCCAGGGGCGGACTAAGGCCTAGGCAACCTAGGCACGTGCCTAGGGCCCGTAATTTTTGGGGCCCCAAAAATTAGGGCCCGTAATTTTTGGGGCCCCAAAAATTAGGTTTTTAATTTTTTAATTTTAAAAATAGGCCCGGAATTACAATGTTGCCTAGGGCCCGCTTTAGCCTTAGTCCGCCTCTGATGACACAGAGTTATTTTCATTTAAAATGAAATTGTACGACTCGTGCTTATGGAGTGTACAATTGTTTCAAGTAAGTCAAAGGCAATGGTAAAAACTACTGAACTAACTTTAATAATAACAATTAATTATGTACAACGATTAGGCAGCCTTCTTTCTCCTTCGTCTTGTAAAAAAACAACTAGTGCCCCCTGCTTTTTTTCTTCTCGCCTCCTCGCGTGATTTTTCTATAAAAACTTCTTACAGAAATTTTCTTTAAATCAAAAATGTATCTATAATTGTCCATATTTAGTTCAAATTACAGTAGACCCCCCTATAACACGGTAGATACGTTTCGTGTTATATGAATTCCGTGTTGTACGAGTCACTTAAATACATGAACCAATCACAGCCCGGCACGTGTGCAGTTTAGCGGCTACAGCTGTTTGAAAGGTTTTCTTCCATAAAATTAATCGATTCTAGACTAATTTGACTCAACATTTCCAAAACACGCATAATTTTTTGGGAATAATCCATTTGGTCGAATTAACTAACTAATCTATACGTATAAATGAAAATGTTTGTTTGTTCGCTCTACACTCCTATATGCTGTAAACAAAAAACTGTAGGATTATTTACCGAGTGCGCGCCATTCGACGACGCCATTGCTTAAGCTTGTTTTCGTCGCGGAGCGGCTCATCGAACGGCGGGCGCGTGTTTCCTGATGAGTTATTTTTCTGCGAAAAATTCGCTGAACTTTGGAGACATCATTAATATAAATACTGTATAATTTTTATGGCCGTTAAATAATAAATGGTTTTTAGTAGGTCCGCTGCTCGTTTAAATTCAACGATTTGTGCAATATCTGCTATTGGTCTAGATTCGATCAATCCTGTCGCGACACGAGTCGGCGATGACGTTTTATCGTGTTATACGAACACGATCGCAATTTTTCCGCCGTGTTATAGGGGGTCTACTGTATTTTAATAGTTTGCCAACATTAGACTGTGCGCTCTCAAATTTATGATATTGCTTAACATTTTTAAGACCTCAAAAGTCATGTAATATCATGAAGTTTTTAACGTGCAACAAGGGAAAGACATTATGGGCATGACAATTTAAGTATTTAAACACTAATTAATGAAGTAATATGTGACAGCTTAGCGTCACAAAAATGTAGTTGCCCATAACGGCAGAAAAAGTGATTAATTTAAAAATAGTGAGAATAATGATCCGTACCGAGGCCTGTGCAAGTCGTTTAGGAAAAGGTATCAATTGGATGACGAGTAAGCGAGTTTCTAACTTTATCAGAAAGACAAACCGCCTTCATATTATCTGTCTAATGCACGATTATAAGTCGATATCTAATACCGATCGATCGGTTACTTGATAATTTCATATCGATCCGCGATAGAAGTCTAATATACTATCATCTCTCGAAAAGCCTTGTAATAGTGTGCCACTCGAAAAGCCTTGTAATAGTGTGCCATTGATAGATGACCACAGTGGGATATAGGAATATTAATAGCAGAACAGTTTAGTCATCTCAAAAGTTCACATTTCGAGATTTTTTAACACGAGGTTTTCTGCAGCGGCGAAGACGATCTCAACTGCCGAAAGAGTCTTTTGCGTTATTCTCCGCATCGTTTTTGCGAATTTTGGCAACTGCAAATCGAAATTGCAATCCACTCAGAAAATCGAATTAACGTGAGTCTTGGCTAAAAGACAAAATAAAAAGAAATGTGTAACTCGTAGAAAACAGTACTCGTGTGAATTTATGTTGGCGCCAGCGATTTCTTTCATCAAATAATTCACGGCATAAAGACATTTTGGCCTCCTAAACCATAAAATTGTTATTAAAATATGTTTAATTACAGTATAATACTTAAGTATTTATTATTACAGTTGTCCCTCTATAGTCCGACGTTTTTTAATCCGACATGCTCAGTAGTCCAACGCACCTCCCGTCAAGGTACCCGTCCCCGTTACGTGTCTGCTTGCACAGAAGCATGTCGCGATGTGAATCTCCCCATCCAATTCTTACTCGATGACACACATTTCGTGTGTTTTATGTGAGCAGTTCTGTTCGAACAGTTGGAGTAGAGAATATTGTAAGTTACTGCTAGCAAAACAATGCGAAATATGTAATTATTTTCGATAATCCGGACACTTTTGGTAATCTGACACACCTTTGGTACCATACCTGTCGGATTATCAAGGGACAACTGTATTTCCTTTTGTGTCATTATTAATGTTAGTTTTAACCGCGCGGGGAATACCGCAAAAGACACACGCCCAATCGTAATTAATTGATGAAATTTATTTGTCAAAAAACGTTTATTGAAAACAATAAATATAAATACGTTTGCTAAAAAAATAGCATTATACAAGGTTTACATATTTTCTTGCATGGAATTTTTATAGGGCAAATTTTGCCGATTTGCGAGAGAATGTCAACGCGCTCATTCACGTTTATTCGAGAACGATATAATTATTTACAAAATCCGTTTCGATTCGTAACAAAAATCGTTCGATCGTTATTCCGACTATAATTTATATTTTTCCATCAAAATAACCTCTTAATAATAACAGTTTTAAAAGTTAAATCCTATTTACATTTTCAATATTTGCTACTTAATTATTTTAACTTTTGATCTTCCTAAAAATTTTCAAACTTTAACGGGAAATAAGAAAAGAATTGCAATTTATAAAAATACTTTTAAAAAACGTTTAAAATATATTGGAGACATAACGTATAGCTATTTTTGTCCGTTCGTTTTATAAATATATTTTCTTTTTTCTCGTCGATCGAATGCCATTGCTACGATAGTCAACACTTCATGCATTCGCTGTACACCTTTTGATCCCTTTTTGTATATTGCAACTAACTTTTATCGAAGCGCAAATTATGTACAGCAAATAAAAAAAAACAATAAAATTATATCGAGTAAAAACAACAATAATAATGAATGGAATAAGTACAAGAAATTGTGCGGCGTACCGCAAAATTTCGGCGCAAACGGCGCGCTAACGAAATTTCGCTAATGATTCGCGTTTAAATAGAACGGTATAAAAAGTGTTTGGTCCGTAAATAAAATATTTATATTTATTATTTTTTTTTTGTCGCGGCGTCGTCATCTCTCGATCTGGACGGTAGGTTTTTATGGTTTATATGATGTATTCTGCGATCGCGTGCGTACATTCGTAAGATACAAAAATGATTCACATCATACGTACAGTAATTAGTAACGTGGTGACGAACGGATGAAAATCGTTCGTAATACTCGAGAACGACTACGAAACGATAACGATTAACATTCAAGCACGAACACAATACATTGCGTAGACAAAAAAAGAAGCCATGCCGGACCACGGACAAAATTTGGCCATGCAGAAACGGTATAAGGCACTTCTTTGGGACGGACGGACGGACGATATAACCGACGTCTAAACAAATAAACGACATCAACTTACTTTGGACGTTCTGGATTACCGGCGAGAACGGAAGGAGGCATTCCTAATGGTGATCTGGAATCTGGTTTTTTGTACAGTTCGAAGGCACTTCCGCGATTTTCTCTGTTGGAGAGATCCAACAGTCCTGACGGAGGAGGAGGAGGAGGAGGAGACGGATGATGATCGTACGGAGGTGGATTGGGCGGCTCTCTTCTAGGAGGATAAGGAATGTTGTGATATGGTCCACCTCCGTTCAGATGAGTCGTCGGCCGAGGAGGAGACATTCCCGTACCGTTACCCACCGATTTGGAATATGCTCGAAAGTCGTAATTCCTGTCCAAGCTACTTCCGCGTCCGGAATCGAATCCTGCGCTATCGTTGTCGTGATAACCACGACGACTAGGTGAACCCATGGTCCGGCTATTGTAGGTGTCGTGAAGACCCCGCTGATCGTCAGGCATAGGAGGAGGAGGCGGTCTCGAGGAACTCGCGTCCATCTGAGGATGTTGTTTCGAATAATACGGAGGATGCGTGGGGAATTCGGAACAGTCGCGACTGCTTCGAGAATAAGGAGGAGGAGGTAAAGCTTCAGAAGATCGAAATCCCGCGGGTGCATGTCCCACGTGATTAAATCCAGTTTCAATTCCATCGTCTTCCGACTGCCATGGCCGTAATTGGTACTGTGATGGCTTAGGAGGAGGAACTGGTCTTCCGTCTGACATTCTGAAATAAATATAATCTTCGTAAATACATTCGTGAAAAACCAATTTAAATTATATTTTCTATACTGAAGACATTTAACGTTTTTACTGTAATCTGAATATGAAGTAATCGTTTATTTTATCATTACAGTATTGCTTTTTCTACTAAATATCTAACTACATCTCAATACTACAGAGAAACTAAATTTATACGATCCTTCCTGTGTCATACACTTCCAAATTTTTGGAAGTATGTGACACATTCTCTTTATCCTTTTATAACTGACAAAATGTGGACTGTACTAATTTCAACCTGCTCTTTACAAACTTTACATTTGGAAATGTAGTTCTGTCTGCAATAGGAGCTGAGATAATTTTACCCATCTTGTTTTGGGGTTGGAAAATTCACTGATACACACTGATGGACCAATGATAATGTATGAAAGCAAGCACCATCTAGATGAACCTGACATTTCTTTCTAAGCTGTTAGCCTGGATCATTATTTAAGTCACCCTGTATAGTGAAATTATTTTGAAGGCATAGTTTTGACTTAATAAACAAACAGAAGTGAACTGTCTTGCATCATCACACCATTCTTTTCTTCAGTCTTTCCTATTGGTTATCTTTAGTATGTGTATTATCTATTATTTAACTATTGTTAACCAAAATTTCTTTTCTGTTTTGAATTCCTTAATAATATTACTGCTATAATTATTTTAATAAATGAGTAGATTTGAATTTTGTTGATGGCAATAAATTTATGATAATATTATATATATTCTCTCCTTAATTCAGGTGTATGTTAATTAGACTTAGGATAAGTAGGGACTAAAAATCATATAATTTATATGAGTGATAACAAATAACTGTTTATATGATTTTTAGTGCCTAGATGTTCTAGTGTCAATTATAACAAACTTAGGTTTCACAAACTTTTACCATCTAATTTATTAGTAAAATTTTTAAAAATTATTTTAAACAATGTTTATTTCAGAAGTTGTCAACCTTTTTCTGAGAAGGGTCATGTGAGCTGTAAAAAACAATTCTGGGGGCCAGGTACTTTGATACAGTCAAAAATTAAAATTTTTGTATTTCTGAATAAACGGATATAAATCAATGTGAAATCTGCAACTGAATTTTGAAAAAATGTCATCAAAATACTTTTGTATTTTAGAATACTGAAAATGATAAGGAATAACTTAAGCATTGCAGTAGTGCAATTAGAAAAAGCAATAAAAATACTACAGAGAGGAAAAGAGTAGCATCAATAATATATATTGGGGATAAATTTAAATTTTATGGCACCCAATATTAAAATTTCCCTTAGATATTCATCGGGCAGTGATATTCAATATTTTAATTTTACATATTTTATTTTCAATAGCATTTCTTTATAAAGGCACATAACTTACAAGCCAAGTTTTGGTGTAACAAATCAAAAACTGAGGATTTTTTTGCACCATTTCATAGAACATTCCTAAATCAGATTCAGTAATAAAAAACGTCTATTTTCTATAGGAATTGTAAGATAGCAGTGAAAAGAAAATTTTATATTTGAAGAGCAAAAACTTCCAATTATGCAATTTAGACCATCTCCCTGATTAGATTCAGATAAGAATTTGATCAAGTATTATCATCACAGCATCATCAACAAACTTATTGCAAATTTCAGATTATTTCAAATAAATTTTCTAACCTCAATGTAATTAATGTTATTCAATACAACTTCAGATATGAATACTGATCAAATCAATGACTTCACAGCAAAATAAATGTTTTTTTTGTTGATTCTGATTAATCTGAAAGTGTTCTTTTGATTGGTAAAAAATCAAATTTTGATTATCCATTTATTACTCTGAAACTCAGCTTGTTAGAAGCAAAAATAAAAAATATTCCCTATGAAAACTTCATAAGACTTTTAAAATTCTCTCCTGGCAGAGATTTCTTTAAATCCCTTCTTTAAATAGGTTTATACAATACAGTAATCATTTGCAGTAAGATCTATTAATTCTAGTTGACTATTCAAAAGTTTATATTTTTTGAACAAGTTCAAATGTTGATGATGAAACATGTCAGTGAAAATAAGCTATGTTGGATGGAAATATATTCTTTGAGAGCTATATTTGACCAGTGAGCCATAGAATGAAGACCCTTAGTTTATTTAATAAATAATAATCATAAACTTACATATGTACAAATGATAATTTTTCTTAGACAAAGACCTTTAGCAATTCTTTAACAGAATTTTCTCTAATTTTAATAAAACTTCCAATTTCTTTAGTTATAATTTGACAATTATACAGAATAACTTGGTGAAGTTTCATTTCATCATTGCTAGGATTACATTTAGTTTAAACATTAATTACATTGTGGAATAAATATTTTGAAGTTTCCTTATAACAACAAGAATGTTATATTCCTTGTTGTATTCCTTTTAAAAATATTTAATATTTACATAAATTTACACTAAATTTATATAAATATAAAGATTATTATTATTAGACAGTTTTCTTTCCCACAGGTCTCTATGAGGCAGTGCACTAAAACCAGGTTTATCATATCAGGAGCATACTTGGCTTTTCTGAATCAATAAGTTTAATCAATAAATTTAAACTTAATCATATTTAAAAATACGAATAAGTTTAAATTAACAAAAGCAACTTATTAATTCACAAAAGTTACATGTGCATCTAGTAAGGGAAACTGGTTTTAAGTGCAGTCTTCATAGAGATCTGTGGGAAGGAAACCTGTCTAATTATAATCTAAAGTACTTGTATACTGGATTATTATTAGACAATTCCAGAATGTGCTAAATTACTGGATATTTCAGATTATCAGAAGCAAATTAACAAACCTCTGTTGTATATATACAAAATTTTCTTTCTTTACGGTTATCATAAATTGATTGTTTATCTAAATATCTACATACCAAATTTTTGGTTTATCATTAAATTAATAAAATCAAGCTTGGTTTATTATTTATATGCATTAATTATTTTAATCTGAAATCATGACTATATGAATCAATTCTCAATGAAAATGATTTAATATATGTAATATTCATATAAAACAAATAGATCAAATATTCAAAAGTACAGTGAATAAAAGAAAATTTAATTACAGTGAAGTCTATACCAGATTTTAAAAAAATCTTATTTTATGAATTGTTACATTCCAGACTAATACTTCTGTGATTACATTTCAAATTATTCACTGTAATTTTGAATAATTTATATAAATGAAAAACTTTTCACACCTGTATTTGGAAGAAACTTGGGACATTCTATTTCTTATATCTGTATTGACAGTTTTGGAAGGCTGAGCTGTACTTCTAGTGAAGCGATAAGGATCGTGTGTGGATCGAGGATTAGGACCTGAAGTTGAACTGTAACGATCTCTTGGTTTATTATCTAGAGCATTGGGAGCAACTGAATACTTATTATATGAATCACTACTAAAGGAAGAACTATCAAAACCACCCTAAAATTAAAATAAGAAGAAAATTAAAAATAATAGTTTGGTATCATTATTTTTTTAATTAATACAGAAATCAAGAAGTAATTATTCTATCTTACTAATCTTCCATTAGACCTTTCTAAGGAATGAGATTTATTATTAGTAGTATTTATGTAATCTGCTGAGATTCCAACTGGATCTTGAGAATGTTCTGTACGAACTAGAAATATTTAACAATAATTTTTAAAATATTCAAAAATTCTTTGTTTAACTTTTGAAAGTAAAACTTACTAGGACTTCCAAATGTTCTGTCCTGATTACCACGGAAATGAGTTGGCTTACTACTTCGGTCAATTCGTGGAGGTGGTTCAGGTTGATTAGATCTATTTTTTGATTGATGAAGATCTAAAAATTAATATAATTAAATAATGTAAATTAAAATATAATTATAATGAATTAAACAAGCTTCCTTGTAAAGCTTAAACTTTGCTGCTTTTTTAAAATGTACGTTTAACAATTCTCGAATTATCTAAAAAATGTATTTATTTCTGTACCTCTTACAAAATTTGGGTTATTATATATGTTCATTTCTGCAGCCAAATCCTTGTTTCTTTTAGCTCATTATCTTAACCATAAGTATATATTCTCCTAATACATCTATCTATATTCATTATCTCTAGAGACTCACCTTAAGTTTCCTTGATCTTTAACAGTGATGCTTAGAAGTTCAATTTTAAATTTAACTTTTAATTTATAATAATTAATAATTAATATAAAAATATTTCTTAATTTTAACAAGAAATAAAAATTTAATCTTAAATTTCCTTAACATGAAAAAAAGCATTAATTTTTGAAAAGCTCCAAATTTTGGAGCTTTTATGAGGTTGCAGAGATTTTCAGTTATTAAAAAAAGAAATTACTTTAAAACAAAAAAAAAACAGAGAGAATTTTTGTAAACTCATCATGAATTTCAGGTTTGAAAATATTAGAATTCATTTTTTAATTGCTTTTATAATTTAAATTATTTATGAAAGCAGAAATGAAGAGAATCTATGAAAGTAAGACACTAAAATGTAAGAAAAAACACAGAAAAAGAAGATAAAATCAAGAAAATATGAAAATTAGATGCATTTTTCTCTAAAGCTCAAATGAAAGAGACAGAAGCAGCAATCACAGCTACAAATGAGAAACAAATTCATGAAAGTTCTCCAATCACAGCAATTACGTCTTCAAACACAGCGTCTAGTAGTTCAAATCAATTTTTTTGGAAATTTCTCAGATGATTTTGTTGATTTAGCTCAAGATACCACAATAGAAATCAACTTCCACTTAATAGAAGTAATAATATTGGACTGTGGGGTGATTTACGTAATGAAGATGTTTCATTTTGGATTGAACAAAGACCAACAGTTTGTCAGCACTTGGACAATAATTTTAAATCTTCTAACAGTCTTACAAGGATCATGCTTGGTATTGTTCAAGAGCATTATTTACTAGTGAAAGAGTCAATGGCAAGATATACACCCATGAATGATTGATTTATTCACCATTTGTAGGCAGTGTTTTTTGTTTTCTATGTAAAATATTCAAAATTTCTCCCTTGCCACAAAAGGACTTAAAGAATGGAAGAATGCTGTTTCTTTATTGAAAAGCCAGGAAAATTCATCAGAGCATAGAGAGGCTTTGATGTTTTATTTGGTACATAGAAGCAATAATACATTATCTGATTACTTGAAAAATGAAATACGGAAAGAACAAAACTATTGACAAAAGGTACTGGAACGAGTAGTAGTAGTGATTTGTAGTTTAGTTGAGAGAAACATGGCATTTAGGAGCTCAAGTAAAACATTTGGAATGGAGGGCAATGAACTTAATTAGACTTTTAGAGTTGATAGCAAAATTTGATCCATTTTTATCTGAACTTTTTCTGTCGAGTCCACACAGATGTTTCTCACAACGATCAACTATGCATTATTTTGAGATATGTAGATGAACTAAATTTTGAATCAATGAAACAATTTCTGAATCTTCATTAAAATTGAGGATTTTGGAAATGACTGTAAATTTTTTGGAAACTAAAGCTAATTTGAATTTTGCTGATTGTAAATCTTAGTCATATGATAATGCAATGAATATGGCAGGAAAATATAAAAGTATGCAGACAAAAATTTCGGAAAAGAACAGTAAGGTGAGTTTTTTTACCATGCACTGGACACTCACAGAATCTGGTTGGTACTGTGGTGCCAAATATTGTATAGAATCAATAAACAATTTTGGAATAGCTCAACAAATTTTCAATTGTTTTTCATCATTTACCAAAAGATGGAGTGTAATTGAAAAAAACAACCAATCGGTAAAACCATTATCAAAGACTCAAGCAGACTCAATCAAAGTAATATATCATAATTATGGAAGTTTATCGGATGCTTTAAGCAATATTGTAGAGAATGAAAGTTTTAATGGAACCTCAAGAGCAGATGCACAAAATTTACTGTCAAAAATGGAAGAGAGTTTGAGTTTGCATTGCAAATTTGCAAACAGTTTTTTGGAACATAATACTAGAAAGAATTAATGCAGTTTCCAAGTCCTTGCAAAATTCAAAAATCATGCTAAACACATGTTCTTTTTTGTATTCATCTCTTGGTAAGTTCCTAATGAGTTTAAATGATCAGTTTGACACAATCAAAGAAGAAGCTAAATAATTATTTCCTGATACTAATTATACAAAACAGAGACAATGAACTAGAAAAATAATTTCAGGTAAACCTCAATCAAATAAAAAAGTGTTCCCAAGGAAAACTTTAAAAAAATAATGTTTTTCTGAAAATTTTAAAAAACATTAATATGAATTTCAAACAATGAGCTGAGTCTTATAAGGAAATGAATCAGAATTTTGGAATTTTAACCAACATTGACATTCCTAATGAAGAATTGAAGATGTGTACAAAATATCATCAAGCAATACCAAGGAGATATTGATGATTCATTATATGGTAAAGTTTTGCAACTCCAACTCCATAGTTTCATCAAAATTAATTATTGAGATCAAGAATCCCCTTTGACTCATTTGTTCTTGTATAAGATGATAAAAGAAAAGAATATGGAAAGAATTGCATTTCCAAACACTCATACAATTTTAAGAATCTATTTATGCTTGATGATTACCAACTTTTCTGGTGAGAGAAGTTTTTCAAAATTAAAATGAACCAAAAATGATCTTAGGTCAACCATGGCCCAGAATACTTTAAACAATTTTACTTTATTATCCAGCAATGTCAATNTAAAATGATTTAATATATGTAATATTCATATAAAACAAATAGATCAAATATTCAAAAGTACAGTGAATAAAAGAAAATTTAATTACAGTGAAGTCTATACCAGATTTTAAAAAAATCTTATTTTATGAATTGTTACATCCAGACTAATACTTCTGTGATTACATTTCAAATTATTCACTGTAATTTTGAATAATTTATATAAATAAAAAACTTTTCACACCTGTATTTGGAAGAAACTTGGGACATTCTATTTCTTATATCTGTATTGACAGTTTTGGAAGGCTGAGCTGTACTTCTAGTGAAGCGATAAGGATCGTGTGTGGATCGAGGATTAGGACCTGAAGTTGAACTGTAACGATCTCTTGGTTTATTATCTAGAGCATTGGGAGCAACTGAATACTTATTATATGAATCACTACTAAAGGAAGAACTATCAAAACCACCCTAAAATTAAAATAAGAAGAAAATTAAAAATAATAGTTTGGTATCATTATTTTTTTAATTAATACAGAAATCAAGAAGTAATTATTCTATCTTACTAATCTTCCATTAGACCTTTCTAAGGAATGAGATTTATTATTAGTAGTATTTATGTAATCTGCTGAGATTCCAACTGGATCTTGAGAATGTTCTGTACGAACTAGAAATATTTAACAATAATTTTTAAAATATTCAAAAATTCTTTGTTTAACTTTTGAAAGTAAAACTTACTAGGACTTCCAAATGTTCTGTCCTGATTACCACGGAAATGAGTTGGCTTACTACTTCGGTCAATTCGTGGAGGTGGTTCAGGTTGATTAGATCTATTTTTTGATTGATGAAGATCTAAAAATTAATATAATTAAATAATGTAAATTAAAATATAATTATAATGAATTAAACAAGCTTCCTTGTAAAGCTTAAACTTTGCTGCTTTTTTAAAATGTACGTTTAACAATTCTCGAATTATCTAAAAAATGTATTTATTTCTGTACCTCTTACAAAATTTGGGTTATTATATATGTTCATTTCTGCAGCCAAATCCTTGTTTCTTTTAGCTCATTATCTTAACCATAAGTATATATTCTCCTAATACATCTATCTATATTCATTATCTCTAGAGACTCACCTTAAGTTTCCTTGATCTTTAACAGTGATGCTTAGAAGCTCAATTTTAAATTTAACTTTTAATTTATAATAATTAATAATTAATATAAAAATATTTCTTAATTTTAACAAGAAATAAAAATTTAATCTTAAATTTCCTTAACATGAAAAAAAGCATTAATTTTTGAAAAGCTCCAAATTTTGGAGCTTTTATGAGGTTGCAGAGATTTTCAGTTATTAAAAAAAGAAATTACTTTAAAACAAAAAAAAAACAGAGAGAATTTTTGTAAACTCATCATGAATTTCAGGTTTGAAAATATTAGAATTCATTTTTTAATTGCTTTTATAATTTAAATTATTTATGAAAGCAGAAATGAAGAGAATCTATGAAAGTAAGACACTAAAATGTAAGAAAAAACACAGAAAAAGAAGATAAAATCAAGAAAATATCAAAATTAGATGCATTTTTCTCTAAAGCTCAAATGAAAGAGACAGAAGCAGCAATCACAGCTACAAATGAGAAACAAATTCATGAAGTTCTCCAATCACAGCAATTACGTCTTCAAACACAGCGTCTAGTAGTTCAAATCAATTTTTTTGGAAATTTCTCAGATGATTTTGTTGATTTAGCTCAAGATACGACAATAGAAATCAACTTCCACTTAATAGAAGTAATAATATTGGACTGTGGGGTGATTTACGTAATGAAGATGTTTCATTTTGGATTGAACAAAGACCAACAGTTTGTCAGCACTTGGACAATAATTTTAAATCTTCTAACAGTCTTACAAGGATCATGCTTGGTATTGTTCAAGAGCATTATTTACTAGTGAAAGAGTCAATGGCAAGATATACACCCATGAATGATTGATTTATTCACCATTTGTAGGCAGTGTTTTTTGTTTTCTATGTAAAATATTCAAAATTTCTCCCTTGCCACAAAAGGACTTAAAGAATGGAAGAATGCTGTTTCTTTATTGAAAAGCCAGGAAAATTCATCAGAGCATAGAGAGGCTTTGATGTTTTATTTGGTACATAGAAGCAATAATACATTATCTGATTACTTGAAAAATGAAATACGGAAAGAACAAAACTATTGACAAAAGGTACTGGAACGAGTAGTAGTAGTGATATGTAGTTTAGTTGAGAGAAACATGGCATTTAGGAGCTCAAGTAAAACATTTGGAATGGAGGGCAATGAACTTAATTAGACTTTTAGAGTTGATAGCAAAATTTGATCCATTTTTATCTGAACTTTTTCTGTCGAGTCCACACAGATGTTTCTCACAACGATCAACTATGCATTATTTTGAGATATGTAGATGAACTAAATTTTGAATCAATGAAACAATTTCTGAATCTTCATTAAAATTGAGGATTTTGGAAATGACTGTAAATTTTTTGGAAACTAAAGCTAATTTGAATTTTGCTGATTGTAAATCTTAGTCATATGATAATGCAATGAATATGGCAGGAAAATATAAAAGTATGCAGACAAAAATTTCGGAAAAGAACAGTAAGGTGAGTTTTTTTACCATGCACTGGACACTCACAGAATCTGGTTGGTACTGTGGTGCCAAATATTGTATAGAATCAATAAACAATTTTGGAATAGCTCAACAAATTTTCAATTGTTTTTCATCATTTACCAAAAGATGGAGTGTAATTGAAAAAAACAACCAATCGGTAAAACCATTATCAAAGACTCAAGCAGACTCAATCAAAGTAATGAAAGTTTTAATGGAACCTCAAGAGCAGATGCACAAAATTTACTGTCAAAAATGGAAGAGAGTTTGAGTTTGCATTGCAAATTTGCAAACAGTTTTTTGGAACGTAATACTAGAAAGAATTAATGCAGTTTCCAAGTCCTTGCAAAATTCAAAAATCATGCTAAACACATGTTCTTTTTTGTATTCATCTCTTGGTAAGTTCCTAATGAGTTTAAATGATCAGTTTGACACAATCAAAGAAGAAGCTAAATAATTATTTCCTGATACTAATTATACAAAACAGAGACAATGAACTAGAAAAATAATTTCAGGTAAACCTCAATCAAATAAAAAAGTGTTCCCAAGGAAAACTTTAAAAAAATAATGTTTTTCTGAAAATTTTAAAAAACATTAATATGAATTTCAAACAATGAGCTGAGTCTTATAAGGAAATGAATCAGAATTTTGGAATTTTAACCAACTTTGACATTCCTAATGAAGAATTGAAGATGTGTACAAAATATCATCAAGCAATACCAAGGAGATATTGATGATTCATTATATGGTAAAGTTTTGCAACTCCAACTCCATAGTTTCATCAAAATTAATTATTGAGATCAAGAATCCCCTTTGACTCATTTGTTCTTGTATAAGATGATAAAAGAAAAGAATATGGAAATTGCATTTCCAAACACTCATACAATTTTAAGAATCTATTTATGCTTGATGATTACCAACTTTTCTGGTGAGAGAAGTTTTTCAAAATTAAAATGAACCAAAAATGATCTTAGGTCAACCATGGCCCAGAATACTTTAAACAATTTTACTTTATTATCCAGCAATGTCAATAAAATAACACCATTGATTTTGATTTATTAATCAATGAATTTGCCAAAGAAAAATGTAGAAAAATTTTTGTAAAACGAATTGTAATTTTTATACCACATTGAATTTTATAATAAAATAATTAAAAAAATATTAGTTTTCATATTTCGTAAAGCCACACCGACCGTCACTCAACTCAATAATCTAGTATTAACTTTTAAATCAGATTAGATATTTTAATTAAGAAAGAATTTATAAAAATCCTTATGTGAATAAGTCAAATAAAATTAATTTTAGAGATAATTATTATTTTTAGGGGCCCAAAGCCTTGCCTCCAAAAATGCAAATTTGACTCTGGATATACCATAAACATCTGACTACAAGAGATGATATGATTCTTAAGAAAATCTAGCAACATTTAAAACTGTGTGTGGCACAATCTGTTATGATATTTTATTTAAAAAACTTTTTATATTTTTAATTATTGTAAAATCGCAAAAAGCTTAATTTTGAGGGTAGGGATGAATTTTATAAAAAAATTATAAATGCTAATAACAAGTAAAATCCATCAATCCTACTCAAGATATGACACATGACCCTCCCTTCTGTCTCCCCATTCCTTTGATGTTTAACCACCAAAATTTAATAGTATCAATCCCCCTAATACAAAAATCTCCATGCAAAATTTCAGAAATTTTCAACAAGTTTGTTCAGTTCAAAGCTTATGCTTCAAAATGGGTGAACAAAATTGTAGCCCCCACACACACACATGCAAACAAACAGGAAAAAAATTCCTGAATTGTTTTTGCATTTCTCAATGTTTCAAGTACAAAATTGCAAATTCTGGGGGGGGGTCATTTTTTGACCAATTGCCATATTTTCCCTCTGTTATATATAACAGAACCAGGAAAGTAATAGGTGGGCCATTTTGATCCTTAGATGAAGATGAAATTCTTCAGACAACAAATTTCTTCCAATCAACAATGAAGTTTGTATTGCAGATAATTGTGCATACATCAAACACTAATTCTCCAGAAACAGTCTACAGAACATGCTCATATTGCTTATGTCACAGTCAGTGGTGTCACTTTTGATAAAAATGTTTGACAGTGTTTTCATTTTTTAATCTTTCATACCAATTCAAAATAAAAAATATCATGTTCTATTTAAAAAGTTAGATTTCTGGCTTGGATAACCTAATTCTAGCCAGTATGGGATGTTAAAGGTAAAACCATTTTGATAAGAGCATACCTAATTTACTTATCAAAATTTTTGAGGAATTTCATATAAGTCACTTCACTTCACTTTAAAATGGGTGTATAGGTAGTTTGAAACATCCTTTATAACAATAATGTTTTTCTTACAAAGTGCATATATTCTGGTAATATTTTTTTAATAATTATAATATTCCCTTAAATTCTTGTTTGTATTAATTATATTCACATATAAACAACCAATAATCCAAAATATATCTAAATATAATCAAATATGGGTATTGCCGGATTGATTATGTTTTAATTTATTATTATAGTTTGAAACAAGATTTAGAAAGATGTAATCATCTCATCTAAATTTAATAATCAGAAATAAATTAATTAATATATTACTGTAAGATATTAGAAAGAAAAATTGACCTGAAATGCAAAATCATGCAAACTCAGCATACCAGACAAATATGTTACAAATATTACTATCTGGATCAGCATTTTGATCTTCATAAGCAGACATATGCACATAATTTAGATTAAGCAATTACTATAGGCACATCATTGACATCCTAAATAATGGATTACCTAATTTAATTACCAGTAATTACTAAATTTGAGAGAGATGATGCTGCTATCTATAGTTACAGAATATAATACTAATTAAAGATCATAGAAGTACAGTAGACTCTCCATATCTGAACTAATGTGGACAGGAGTGATCCAGATGTTAGAAAAATCCAGATAAAAGAGTGTGATAATTTTTAAATAAGACTGTAACATATATGCCTAATGTATGTATTTAAAAAAATGTTTATTTGTACTTTGATGCTTATTTTTGACAATTACAATTAATTTTGAAACTATTGTGTTAAAGTTCTTTGTTTTGTTCTTCTCAATTCACTGATGAGTTGCTACACATGCCAATACCTCATCATTATCATGTCAACAATTAATGCATTGTGCCCTACAAACTTCAATGCAACTTTAATATAAAAAAAAAAAAATTAAAAAAATACACACTGCAATATAGAAAGGTAATATTCATAGTAGTATACAACTTATTCAAAAACATTTAGTTGCCTTTGATCAGTCCACATTTGGAAGGGCTGAATATGGAGAGTCCACTATATAGCCTAAAAACTCAAGTAATGTTTGGTTTATGTAGTGATGATTGTATTAATATAATTATGTAAATAGATGATATGTAAGAAGTGTAAATTTTTATGATTTTATAATATATATTTTGTTTAACTAGTCTTTATAAATATTTTCAATTTCAGTCAAGAATAATAATTTTCCTCTTACCTTAGATGACTTAACTGCTTTACATTTAATAAAGTATTAATACACTAATTGATAAATATTTTTCTCATCAAGCCTGCATTTCTCATAACAATTTTTTTTATTAATGAAATTAAATTTTTAAGTTTGGTTCAAGTGGTTATTAAAACATTGAGTTGAATAAATTTATTCAGTTCAATGTTTTAATAATGACTATAAATAAAATTTTATGTTTATTTGCATGTGTATAATAATTATTGAATAGTTAAGCATTAAACATACCAGATCCTTCATTACTTTTATGGGCTCTTTCTCTTGATAATGTAGAATAAGGATCAATACTGGATTGCATAGTTGAACCATAATAAAGATCTCTGTCAGTTTCATCTATGTAAATATTAAAATATTTGTCTTTAAAAACTTGTTAATTTCATATTTATAAACTTCTACTTAATCGTAACTAACCTATTTGTTGCCTTTGGCTAGATAAAATATCATGATTAATTGTTTCTTGACCTAAATGATTTACTGATGTAGGTGCTTCCTTAAATATAAAAATAAATTATTGGATAAAATATAATAAAATAATTTCTGTTCTCAAAGTTTTCACATATAAATATAAGTAAATAATAAATTTTGATATGTCAGAATAAATTACAATTATTTATAATCTAAAGCAAAGTTAATTATTTGAATTTATAATAACAGCTTATAAATAGATAAGAAAATTCATAATTACAGTAATATTTGCTTTAATAAATTCATTTTAGTGAAAACTGTCATAATTAAAGTTGAAGAATAACTATTTACAATCAAAATTAATACAATTGATTAAATACAGCAGATTGTCAATATGAGAATAATTGAGAACAGAAACATAAAAGTTTATCTTTACAAAACTTTTGATGATAAAGATGATGACGATGATGGTACCCACCTTGAAATAGAAGTGATGAAATGGGAGCTAATGGAAAGAGCAGATGAGAATAATTAAAGATGAAAATGAACCTAACGTGAAACTGATTGAATGATTTAATAGATATGTATCTTATTGTGGAAACTGAGCATAATAAATACCTGTCTAGATCTTGTTAGTATAGAATAAGGAGGTAATTGGCTATAACCAGGTAATCCACCCATGTCCTCTTGTGTTGCAATGCTCGGATCACTTGATGCTTTAACCATGTGACGTTCAGCTCCTGGTGGTGACGTGCTTCGTGCCTGCAAGCTCATTGGCCTAGTATCAGTTGTCAAGTCTAAATCACTTTCAGGAGAAGATGCATAACTGAGTCTTGAAGTCATAGGAAACAAAAAGTCATCTGAAATTGTCTCTTGAGGCTGAAAACATAGAATAAATTGATTGAAAGTTAAAAGTAAAATATGTTTTTCTATCAATTTAATAGTCAGGTTAATAAAATTAATTACCTTAGATTCTGAAACCCAAATTGCTTGCTGCTGTTGTTTGTCTATAGTATCACGTAATTTTTTGTACCACATATCAGCACCAGATAATGTAATAACAGCTAAAGGTTGTTTATTATAAACACATTAAATATATAAACTATATAACATCTAAATGTTTGTAAATTATATTATCTACATTTTAACTTTAGTTCAGTATTTAATGTAAAAGTCTATAAAATTACAAAACAATTACTCAAATGCTAACATTTGCAACATCTTTAATACCATTCTCAAGTCTCTTTAAAACAATTAAAACAAGACAATTTTTTCATGAAACAGAATCAAATTTAAAAATCAAAATATCTTAAATACCTTTATCTAATTTTGTTAAGGATGCCAAAAAATGTTAACACTTGAGTTAGCACTTATTTAGAATTTCATAGATTTCTAAACTTCATATTAAATTAAATGTAAAATGCAAATAACAAAGAGCCATAGAACTTTTTGTTATATTATCCAATTGATTTTTTATAAATTTTAATTTGAAAATATTTACCTGTAAAAATATGTGACCATAATTTTTCTAACTTCGTAGCATGGTCGTATAGTTTTTTAGAGCTTTTATGACTGGACTTTGCTAATCTGGAACGCAACTCTTTCACAGTGTGTTTATTTTCTGCATGCATAAAAATCACAATAGGATAAAACTGAGCATAATTAAGACGATCAACAGCATTTGGTGTAATATCCAAAACAGCATGTTTTCCCTAAAGTATCAATTTAATAATTATAATTACTTGAATAACACAAGTTTTCAAATTATACTTTATTTTCTTACTTTTTGAATTATTTCTTTTATGGCACTAAGACGAATTATACCTGAAGATTTTTGGCTCTTTGGAATATCATCTAATTGGCTGTCTAATTCTAAAAGATAATTTTTTATATAAGATATCAAAATTAAATTGAAAAAGTATTTTAATAAAGCAATGTAACATTAATATAATATCAATCATGGCAAAAGATTAGTGTTCTTTGATAAATTTAAGCTTACGTGGAGATGCATACTGATCCGGATAATCTTTAAGTAGTTTATCTCTTGCTACATCTGCAAGTGGTCCAAATAAAACCACAGGCCTTGTGAATCCAGCTTAAAATTAAGATATGTCAAATTCATATTTTGAAAATAATAATTACTGTAATACAAGTGAAAATCACAAGTACACTTACGATGTTTTAATGTCACTCTTTCATAGGCAGGAAATTTTGATAATCCGTCTGCTGTGATAAAAATAAATAAATTATAAATATTTTAATAATTAAAAAAAAATTATGATACAATATCCTATAAATGTATATTCAATTATATTCAATGAAATTAAAAATAGTTAAATGAAAGTTATTCAGTATTTTAAGTATCTCTGAAGTAGTAATGTTACAGTTGTAGAAGAATTCAAACTTTTTTTAATTTCTTAATGTTCTTAGAATTAAAATTTCATTCCTAGACTACAGTAAAGAAATATCTTAGATTTCCATAGTTAAATGTCTATATTTTGTTTTTAAAAATTTGTATAGCTTTGTTTCTTTTAAATAAAATCAGTGATTTAATATTAACACTACATTATAGCAGTAATAGCAGAAAAAAATTTATGAATTAATGATATCATCATCAAACATACAATGTGTCTAAAAAAACTATACATAAAATTTCCAAAACAATTAATATAAAATCAAACATATAAAAATTGATTGATAAATATTTAGTTTCTTATTGTAGTAGTCCATGAAGTGCTGGGAATGTAATTGCCACCATTTAATAGGCACAAGTATCTAGTCTGTATATGCAGTCTCAGTTCATTTTTTGCATGTTTATTTTTAAACTTGTTTTCTTCATTCTGTATAAAGCAACAATTGGAAGCAGAATTTTTTGCATCCAAAGGTTGTGTACAATGGAAAAACGATCAATCAGTTCAGTGAAGTATTGTAAACCTTGTAAGCCTTCTCTAAACTTATTTACAGAATAAGATCATAAAAACATCTTTGACTTGCACCATAAAAACATAAGACTACACTGCTGTAAGGATACAGAAAAAATGCTTAAGAACCTAAGTTAAAAATTATATTCCATACCTCAGTTCTAGATTTATTGTTCTTTTGTTCTTTCTTTTAGAAACAGAAATATCTTTATATAATTTTATTATCAAAGAGAAGTATGTAAAGTATAGGGTCTATTATATATATATATTAGACCCCTATACTTTCAGTTTATAATATATATATATATATATATTATAAACTGATATTTTAATACATAATATTGCAATGACATACCAAAAACAATATCTTCCCAATGATCTTTACTTAACGATTTCGAACGTCGGGCGCTGCGTCTTTTGAAGAAACTTCCCCGGCTTTCCGAAGCAGTATCTTTTTTTGCTTGAATCTGCTGCTCTTGAGCCCATTCCTCGGCTCTGAAGATTTTTAGATATTATTTTTTAAAATAAAATCTAGATTTGATGAGAATCGGGGAAAGACCAGATCTTACCTGTTTCTGTTTGGAATAATTCCTTTCTGAATTTCTTGGTTATTGCGACCCAGCCGATATACAAGCCAAGAACCTACCACTCCGTTGTGTAGAGTGTCAATTACGTGAAATATTTCTCCCACTCTAAAATTAAGTTCGCTCTTACCAGAGCCTTCGTAACTGAAATGCGTTCTATACAAACAAAATAAAAAGAAAAACCGATAATTAGCTTTAAAATATTTTATCAATGAATTATCTTTTTTTCAGTCGTCTTTTATTTCTAATTTGTGATTATTGAAAAGAACTGATGGGAAGAAAAGAGGATCACAGGCTTCATTTTTCACATAGATAAAGGAGTGTCTGGAGTTATAACTCTATACACACCAGTGAATGAATATTCCATGTGAGATGACTAATATACAAAAAACTGTAAGAGAAGCCAAAACTAGCTTTTTTCTTTTTACAAAAGCACTAAAATAAATTTAAAAAAAATAGTAATAATAAACATAACAACAGTGCTTTAAAATATCTTTACAATAAAGTTTTTTTCTTTCCTTCAATATGCGATGTTCATCAAATCCTCTTTCCACATCCAAGTTTTAATTCTTCCGATTTGATGTGGCAATTTATATTTAATAGTGCATGCCTCAAGTAAAATGAGAAGAAAGTTTAGGCAGTAAAATCAAACCGGAATAAATAAAAGCATAAAATTGGGCAAAGATAGTCTAATTTAAAAAAAAAAAAAATTTTGATGTAAAAACAATATTCTTGATTTGTTCCTGTCCTACTAAATTTTATGACAATTACAAGCTAATCTGTTCAATTTAGGAGTTTGCTATGAGCATTAAAAAATTTATACGGATGTCATGTGTGAATAAAATACAGATATTATCGTAATATATGCACATATATATTAATAACAAATTCAATCACATTACAATGTATGCAGATAAAATAATAAATTTATCAATAATAGTACTACATGCAAATATATTAATAATGTTAACTATATAAAGTCACTACATTGTCTAATAATACTTAGATATAAATAAACTACCTGGCACGAGGCACAATCATGCCATTAATATATACATGATATTGTCTGAATTAAAATCCTTTTATATAATGTAGATTGTATTTCTTTTCGTTACAGTTAAATCAGGCTAGAGAGGAGACAGGTGGCTCACCACTTGTAGAAAATTTTGCACCACCCCTGTCCATTGTCTATCAATTTTTAACGTTTAAATTTTGAATACTTTTGTACTGTTTTGTATGTGTATGATTTTAATAATATTATATCAGACAGAGAGAGAGATGGCTTCCCAACAAGCAAATTAGATACATATTGTGCAAGTGAACTTGTATGTCTAATATTTAATATTGTCTAATTATTTAGTAAATATCAGGTCAGTCCATAAGTTCGTGTGTATTTTATGACCTTGAGAAAAATCTTGTTTTGCTGTTAAAAATGCCAGTCTAATGTGATACTTTTTACACTGAAGTGTTAAATTGGATCTCATTCATATAATACTGTTCAGAATTGGAAACATTTCAGTTGTTTATTTTCGTTAAAATGGAAGTAACAGATGAATATAAGAGACATGTTTTATACTTTTTATTTTTAAGTGATGAGAATGCTACAAATGCAGCCAAAAAATTAAATACTGTTCATAATTAAACTGTAATCAGTGTAAGGACTGCGCAGAAGTGGTTTGAAAGATTTAGAAATAATGATTTTAGTGTGGAGGATAAAGCTTGTACTGGAAGACCCATTGACTTTGATGATGATGCTCTCTCTGCACTAGTTGAAGCAGAACCATCTTTAACAGTTGATGAAATTGCGAAACATTTAAATTCATCCCATGGAACTGTTCATAGACATCTACAACAAATCGGAAAAGTTTCAAAGCTAGGAAAATGGATGCCACATGAATTGTCAATAGCTAACTGACAACGTCAACTGCTCAACTCAAAAGCTTTAACTGGTAAATTTTACCTCATTCACCATATTTGCCAGATATTGCTCCCGGTGATTATCATCTTTTTTGGAGTTTGCAGAATTTTTTAAAAGGGAAAACTTTTGAGGATGAGAACAATGTAAAGAAGGCTATTTTTGAGTATTTTGATTCAAAACCGAAATCATTTTACAAAGACGGGATTAAAAAGTTACCATCAAGATGGCAAGAAATTGTACAAAATAATGGTGAATACATTATAGATTGAAATAAAATTTAATTAAAATTTTTTGTTGCCTTTTTTGTAGATAAAAATGCGCACGAACTTATGGACTGACCTGATACAACCATTTAAAAATTTTTGAAAATATTTTCACTGTCATTTTCAAAACTTTCCAAATATAAAAAATGTATTTAAAAAATAATGTATACAAATGAATTTAAGAATCAAATACATGAGGAAGGTCATTCAAATGGCCGAAAACATTCGATTAGTTAATAAAAAGCTGCATTTTAAAGATTTTTTTGTGAATGTTTGATTATTATTTAATTGCAGTTTGAAAAGAGTATAAATTTAAGGGGCTAGATGAAAAAAAATTCTTAAAAGGGTTGGGAACCTCTGCACTGTGTTATACTTCAAAAATTTTCCAGTGGTGGACCTCCTGATCCTCTTCCTCTGAAATATTCCGTAACTCCCAGATCTCCAAAAGCTATTTGCATTTTTCACCGAATGCTCTCCCTCTGCGAACCCAGATAGAATAGTTTTGTTTAAAAACAAAACTATTCTATCTGGGTTGTTTGATTCATTCTTGTGTATTATCAGCAGTAAAAGTGAATAGCCAATAGAAAAAGCAAAACTTTCTGTTGCATTCCAAATTGCAATTTCAAAGCCTTATGAAAGCCTAATATAAGTTTTTATCTATTCCCACATGAAAAACAGATGATATTACAGAAATGGCCGGTTATATTTATGAGCTTCTCTGAATTCTAAAAGAGTGGATTAAACTGTTAAGAATTGGCAGTTTCTCGATTGTCCAGCTTTACATGAACAAGTTACGCTGTCAATTTTAAAACATATTTTCTCAAGGTTTAAAATGCCAATAATTTTATGTTGGACACAGGTTTGGATTTAAGCATTTCGAAGCCCTAAGCTGAACTCTGTAAGGCCCCTTACCAATCCTTCATAATTTTAGAAGTCATTCATAAAAAGAAAAGAATTAAATCAGACTATGTCTCTGATTTAATACAGATATTGGAAAAAAAAGATGTAAGGTTTCACTAGTCTTCTGTTTTATAACTGGATTTAAATAAATTTTTATATCCATTCCATTAAAAATCTTTTTTTATTGATTAAATTGATAAATTGGTTATATCAATTGTTTTAAAAAAGATCTTATGTTAATTCTTAGAAAAAAAATTAATGAAATACTACACAAAATAAAAAGTAAAGTATATTTTGTTGGTTTGTAAAAAAATGTTTATTACAAAATTTGACTTCAATTTTCTTTTTCGTACAAATGTTTGAGGCCCTAAGCAACAACTTACATAGCTTTTTACTTGTAAATCCGGCATTGCTGATCAGTGCCATAACTAGGGCGGTGCCCTGCACCTGGACACCACTGGCAGACCTGGGGGGACACAGAAATGACCTGGACCAAGTTTTGGGTCATAGTTTTGGGGAGTAGTTACAGAAGCTCGCACCGGGCGCATAAAAGGCTGGTTACGGCGCTGCTGCTGATATGACGATGTCAAAGATGACGTTAACACAAAAGGGCACAAATATGTATAGAACAATCTCGCTCATTTGTTTCGATAACACATAATGATGTGTCCCACTAGCAATAATTGTTCTCCTATAAAATTTCTGGATAAACAGCTACAAGTAGCATATATCATTATATCGGACAGTAATATATGATCAGTGGCGGCCTTAGGGGGTGGCGAGCAGGGCAATCGCCCAGGGCCTCGCTATTGGAGGGGCCTCGCGCAACAACCAAGTAGAAAAAAGTTGATATTTAAAACTTTTTATTTTATCCTTGGCTATTAGTTATAACAATAAAATAAATTTAATTTATAGTACAGTATATATTAATATTAATAAGTGCCTACTTTGCACAAAGGACAAGGTCCTCGCAATGATCTGCCGCCCAGACCCTCGCAATGGATAAGGCCGCCGCTGTATATGATTAATTTTACATTACTAGTTACAGGCGAGCCAGATAAAGTAGCCATTTTGTAAAAATGCAGCGCCCTCTATAGTTCATGAAAAACGCGAATACCATATAGCAGCCACCCCTACAATAGTTGATCTAGCATGGCCTCCAGCATTTTAAATTAATCGCATTGATTGCCGAGAATAGTATTTAGGATGAAAGATGTAAAAATTTTAATTAGAAAATTACTTTAGAAATTAAGAGAATAAATTTAAAAAGGCAAAATACATCGCACCGTGACGAAACCGGATGAACTGTATCCGCCATTATTACCTACGGGAACATTAGGCTACTCATTTTCATTTCGAACAACAATAAACACACGAAACTAATTAGGAAAGCATTTAATAAATACATAGGCCTAACTACTATCAAAATACAGTAAATGCACAGTTCGATAAACCGTTAAATCGAAACGTACTGTAAGTATTTAAATCCTCTAAGCCAGAACTAAATAATGGCGGAACTTCCGGTTTTCTGGAGTGCAATGTTAGACTTTTGATTGGCTGAATGTATGTCATGTCTCTTAGATGAAACTGATTCTGACTAGTGATATTTTTCGATGTTTATTCCTTTATATGCATACTATTGGCTTCGATTTCGTCCATAATAAGAACCCTGATAGTAATTAAATAGGTAGGTGCGTTGAGGAAACGAGAGATCTGACTTCGATCCGTGATTACGATATGAAGACGTAGATACAATTGAAGGAATTTTTTTTTTATAGGAATACAACGTTGCAGCCAATCAAAGTAATTTGTAATAAATAAATAAAATTAACTAACGAATTGTTGAAAGTAGACACCTAGAGAGGTCAGCAGATACAAATTTTCGGAACTGGAAGCTTTCGAAATCATACGAATTATACGTTAAATATTTTCTGCATGAAACTTTCTCCATTATAAAACACTCCAGTTATACGTTTTTCGTTAATCTACAGCACTTTTTTTTAAATATGTTATTCACGCTGAAATGAAAACATTTTAAGTGATTATTTAAAACGTGAATGTACTGCATAAGGTTTTCCAAACTGACAGCAATTCTACAAAGCAGAGTGAATAATACTAACATATGATGCTGTTTCCGGCGAATTTTCCCTTTTAGCATATCGTTTGATTAGTTTCAACACTGAAAATTTTAGCTTTCCACTTTTTTAGTGTAAACCAATTTCTTTAAGCGAATAAAAAAAATCGCTTTGTGGTTTCTCAATCGTTTTCATTATTTGCTTAGTTTGAGTCCCTTAGAATGACTCTTCATTCTTTCATGCTACTGGAGTTTTGGTGGAAGGAGGTATTTCAGATACTGTACCAGTATATGAGAAGTCCATTGAAAAAAATACAAGACTCAACTTTACACTGGTTGGCTTTTCCTTTAATATGTTGTTCAAATGTAATATACATAGTTAATTGAAACTTTTTACGGTGTTAATTTGTGCCGCGCCGTACTTTGTTACCATTATATTTCCTCTGAAATAATTCAAAATTAGTTTCACTTTTTCTCATTTATACGTCATTCAGTTTCCATGAAAAAAAACGTATAAACAGGGTTCGACTGTATGTGCGATAACATATTCTATACTGTATATAAAACGTAAGTTATAAATATCATTTTAATTAAGAAATGAAACAAATCAATCAGTTATGACTTATTTTATAATGGCTTCTAGTCTAGTCTATTGGAATATATTTTTGTGTGTGTGTGTGAAAGAGTAGAAGCTTGAAGCAAATGATTATGTTCTAGAAACTTTGATCACAAAATTTTAATCGGGCGTAAGCAATCTTTGTATAATAAAGGGTTTTACGATGCTGTTTCGATATAAGATCGGGCAGAAACATTACAAACATCGAATTTTACGTAAATTCTACATAAAATCCGATTACAGTAGAGCGTCGATTATCCGAATCAATTGGGGACTGGGGTTGTTCGGAAGATCGATGTTTCGGATAACAGATTATGTAGGAAAAATATATTAATTTATCCCATCTTGACATTTTCCTCTGTTGCGTGTCGCTTCGCGTTGAATTTTCGTCGATGTTAAGCCTAACGAAGACTATTGTATCGTTAAAAATTATTTTTTTATTTTGTACAAACAAAATAAATATATTGAAAAATATAAAAACAATAAAAAATTATACTTCAGAAGTTAATTTAGTATCAAAAACGTAAAATATTTGAGTAGCCCAAGACATAGCCAAAGATTGCAGCGCCACAGCACTGGCGAAAATTTAAATTTGCCGACTGGAATTCTTTCGGATGATTGACTTTCGGATAATCGAACGCTCTGCTGTATTTGCAAAATTCGAATGCGAATATAAGCAATAAAACTATATCATTTTTATTCATTTAAAATTGCAGACGAAAATTAAAAAAAATTGTGCAATATTTGATAACTTTGAAGTTTTTTTTAAGTTGAGATTATGATGCCTATCGCTGGTTTCTACAGTAAAAACCTCGATTTAACACACAAAAATTTCCGGTCTGTATGTCATATGTGAAAATTAACACCCTGTTAATTTTAAAATGCTTTTTATATGTAATTAAATTAACAGATTATTATTTTTTTTCCAAATCCACCGCTCATAAAGTGTATTTTCCAAAAAATGTTTGTATTTCGATTTACATCGTGCACTCGTTTATTACAGTCTCAGAACTACGTATAGAATAAGCAATGATACGTATAAAAAACTTTTGTAAAATTAAACTGTACATACGTACTTAATTTTAATTAGGCAAACGTATTCAAATAAGTAAAAACTGATAGACTAACTAATATATCAGTTTTTTTTTAACACACGCATTCGGAGAACCTACTTTATTATATAATGGACTTTCGGCTTTCCGAATTACTCCGTTAAATCGAGGTTTTACTGTAAATGGCTTGCATATGACATGCAAGGGGTGCCATACCGATATAGCAACTCCTTGAACAGTAATGTATTGCTAGTGTTTGTGGGCTATTGAGTTTTACGGTTACCCACCTATGTTAAATATAGGCAAACCATCAACCATGTGGGTGATGGACCCACACAGAAATTTCTGACTACGTCTCTGAATATCGGAATAGTTAAATATCTTTCAATGCATAATCTACAATATTTTCCCTTGGCATTTTCCTTTATATATAAGTTAACGATTAAAGAGAGAAGTTTCCAAAATGCAGCTATAAAACAACTAAAGTTAACGCTTCCTTTTCACAACAGATGACAGTTTAATTGCATTTATCAATTATGTTTTCAAACAAAACAGTTATAATTCGATCAAAAATTGACGGATGATGGTCATGTCCATGTAGGTAATGGAGTTATAACGTTACATCGCGAAAGGATATAGAGAAATGTAAAATGCCTTCCAATTCCGTAAAGTTTTTTATAAAGCCGTAGCAATTTAGTTACATTTTATACGCCCGTACTTAAATTTTAATACATTCATTTAGTCTTAGAATCGTAGACAACTCGTTAAAATATTCATTATTCGATGTCATGGTTAAATTTATGATACTCGTTACGCAATCGTTTATTATAATAATTCGACATCAAACAAGAATTTTGGCTATTTGTAATCCGCTAAGGGAATCGCCATTAATTACGTAATTAGAAGAGTCGTTCGGTGACTAATCCGATGCATACCGGATTCGGATAATCGAGAGAGAGAGAGAGAGAGAAATAATTTAATAGTAAACGTACCTGACGTAAAACGAATCTCCTCTCTGATTGGATACAACTTCGTCATATTCTGTAAAATTTTGCGAGGATAAAACGTAAAACAGAAAATCTCGACAACGGAAATATGAGAAAATAAGATGTAGTGTACAGTACCTTCTTTGAAATGCTGTACAATTAAATTGACTCGATCTTGAATGGTCAGAAGCAGCAAAACCGCTTCTTCCCTGGTCATTCCCCGCATATCTACGTCGTTCACCTGGATAAAAATAGCAGAAACCAAATTAAACCACAATCGAAGAATTAAAACATTCTTCACAAATTCCAAACCACAGAATTTTCGACGATGAAGGGAGAAATTTTGCAAAACCTTTAAAATTTTATCTCCCGGCTGAAGACCCTGCAACAGAGCCGGACTTCCGGGTTGGACGGCGGTGACAAAGATTCCCACTTCGTTTCCTCCGGTAAGTCTGATGCCGACGCTTCCCTCTTTTTGGAACGACACGAACCTAGGATCCGACCTACAAAAGTTTACGTTTAAATAAGATTAGAATAAACTGAATGTCGGGGGAAAAGCCGAAAAAAGGAAACCCACATGGTTTTATTTCTTCTGGAAAGCTCCTCATCGAACGCTTCTCTTCTCCCGCCGTATTCTGTAAAATAATTTGGGATGATCGGGGTTCGATTCTTCCGTTTAATCGAAAAGGCAGACTTACCGTCGATCCTGGGCAGAGGCGGTCTAGGAGGAGGTTCCTCGTCTTCTAGACTTATGGGCGCCCTGGAATGACCGTGTCCCGTAAGGAGTGGCGTGGCGGGCTGATCCAATTGGCTTAGAGATATGTCCATCAGCGGCCCTCTATTCCTGCCTCCTTGCATCCTTCGAAAAAGCAAAAATGACAACCGGAAAGGAATACGAGAAAGGAAATATACTAAGTATATTGCGGATTGGAATGAATTACTCACCGAGAAAGATTATTTTTGTCTTCGTTACAGTCGGGAGAAATGGGCGATCGATAGTCTCCTAAAACGAAATAAAATTTCAAAGATGTGGATAAGAATAGAAGGAAGATATTTGATTGATAAGTAATAATCTAATGTTGGCCGATTGAAGTAGTAACGTTTAATACTCAAACGAGAAGTATGGAAAAAAGAGTCCACGATTCCCACGTCGAGATAAGAATTCGGTTTTGTATCTTCATTTAAAATGATTTTAAACAAAAGAAACACGAAAACGTATTTTAAATATAACTTATACAGATAGTTAAAGCCTTCTTAATTTGATTTTTCTTTGACTATATTGCTTATAAAATTCTAATTTATGTGTTACGGCCACAAAGTATCTTGTAATTATGTGAATAGCGAGTGTATAAAACCCTCAGCCAAAATGCTTCGAGTGACTCGAGGATGCCATGCTCGAGTTTTGCAACGGCATACGATGAAAAGTTTTACTAAAGAATATTTTATCGTGGTAAACAGTAAAGTAATATAATTCATCGACTGCAAATCGAGTGACGAGCAACACAATTTTACGCCGATTTCATGCAATAAATATAATCGAAATAAATTTCAAATGATTTTAATTACGCGACGTCGCCGCTGGCATACAAAATAATTAAAAGAAAAAAAATTGCGAGCGCTGGTGCTAGCGACCTTGGACATTATCACTTTGACCCACTTTATCTGCAAAAGGAAGCCACGGACCCTCGATTTTTAGTACGTTTCTAATTTCCTCACCCTACATTATGTAAAATGATAAAGTTTAATCAAAATCGACCGATAAAATCTCGAAAACGAACTCAATTCTACAAGCCACGTAGATAAAGCTTCGCTAACGCTCTGTTTAAAATATTGTATACGCATCCCGTAGAATTGGAGTGGAGAAAATCTCGACTCTTAAGGTCGGTGTGGGCAAAAAAGTCGAGAAACTTCGTAAAACAACTTTGTATCTAGCCAAAAGCGATTTATTGTCATCATTGTTTATGCATCGTCCGTTGCGTAATTGCAAAAGACGACACGGTTAAGGATAGAAACCGGGTAACGACCCCGTCGAGACGCTTACCGGCAATACCCAAGAGTCTTAAAGGAAAGTAGCTCCAGGGTTAATTTTCTCGAGAAACCGACCTTAATCGCTACCCGACGAAATTCTCGTCCACCTTAAAGTCGGGACAAGATATTGGAGTTAAGAAATAAAATGTCGCTTAAACCGATGCTATCCAAACTTTTCGATTGCGATCCAAATTGAGCGCAATTTCGGTAAGTAGACGGTAGACAAATATTTTTTTTATATTTCATATCCACAAAAAGTAGGTCTAATTTTTTTAAAAATCATTTACAAGTTATGTGTCAAATATGTCAATGAGACGGATTTGGCCCGGGGTGGGTTGATCGCTCTATTTTTCCAGATAATTTTCGGATTTAATATTTTTTCATTATTCTTTTTCTACGTTCGATCAGTCGCTCCTGGATAAATTAGTTTAAAATATAGGAAAAAATGTAATCGCCGTACAAAGAACGGAAACGAATGGTCACGCGATTTCATATTTGGCTCATTGGATTAATTTCCGAAAGACGTTCGGTTCCCGAAGACCACCTGTCCTGGATTTTTCTGTTTTCCAACGTTTCTATTAATATTGGCGCCGCTCGTCGTTGCTGAGGCGTTTCGATAGTTCGGGTGACGAAAGTCGGGCATTTTCCGAAAGATCGATCATACGGCACTCACCTCTGGTGGGAGGTTGAACGTAGAGATTCTGATTGGTCCACTGCAGTCCGCTGCCGGCCACGTCCACGAAATTTTCGGCGTGATCTGAAACGTAGAAGTTTTAAAGGAGAAACGATCGACGCGAAAGAGAAAGGAAGAAAAGAAATCTACCTTTGTTCTGACGACGGGGCACTTCGAACGGCGTTCCGTCGGACCATTGTCGACGTCGGCGTTCATCGGAGGCGTCGTCGCGTCTTCCCGCTTCCCGGCGGACGATCAGTTGCAGCCTCTCTTTGCTGTTCTCTATCAGTTTCCGCGCCTCTTTCAGACTCATGGCGTCGGTGCTGGTCGCGTTGATCTGTGCGGGAAAGATCATCTTTCTATTTTTAATCTTTCTTTCCTCTAACAAGTAGGGCCAGAGGAGAAGATACCGACCTTGACGATGACGTCTCCTTCTCGGACGCCTCCTTCTTTCTCCATCAGCGACCTGTTGGTGATTTCCTTGACGTAGATGCGACAGCCCAGAACGATACCGAAATCTGTTCCGACACCATATTACAGTTAGTCTCTCGATCTCGGAGGAAACGCGGCGTCGTCCGTCGATCAGTTCCGAAAATGGAATCGTTCGCATTTTCCCCGAAACGTTTTCGACCGATGAAGGGCGAAAACGTTTTTTCGTGTCTCGCGATTAATTCCGGATCGACGAAACCATCGCCATCTTTACCGTCTCGGACTCGGAATTCAACGTGTCGGTTAATAAACATCTTCGAATCAGGATTTTCTGGACGTTCCGAAAGAAGCGAACGCATCGGCGGGCGACGTGGCGAGAAAAATAAGATTTCTTACCTTCTTTCTTCTTGCTCTTGGTCAGAGTTATTTTGATGGATTGAGGTTCGTCGGGAGGAGGAGGCAGCACCACTCTTCTCTTGATCACCTGTCAAAAGACATAACGCGTGTCAACCGGCGATCTTCTCGTCCGACGGAGTCGGCGGAGGTAAAAATTCGGAATAGAAAACGAAGCAAGACGAAGATCCGAGAGGGTCCGACGAAAAGAAAACGAATGACTGAAACTCACCAAATCGACGGAAGGTCCGCAGTCTCTCAGTACTTGTACGGCCGTGTTGTAGTTGACGTTCTCCAAAGATATTCCGTTGGCGCTAATCACGCGGTCATTGACCCTGTCGAAGAAAGGTCGTAGGTCAGGGGCAAACAGAGTTAACGGAAGAAATGGAAGAAGCGCACTTACCGGAGTTTTCCTTCGGCCGGACCCGCCTTGAGGACGTCCGACACCGCGATAGCCGGATCGCCGTTGGCGAAATGCGGGTTATCCCTTCCTCCGCTGACGGCGATGCCGAACCCGTATCCGGGCACCCTGGTCAGCGTCACCGTCCGGAACTCCCACGTCACGCGTTGCCCATCCTGAAACAAAAGACGACCGTATTAAGAGAAAAGGACGTAAGTGAAACCCAATCAAAATAATGTGAATCTACGTCGTCGGGATGGACAACCTTTTTAAGTACGCGTGCCAAAATCGTCAAATCCCGGATGCAAAATTTTCTCGCGTGCCAACCGAAAGTTTTGGAGCATATTATTTGTATAATTTCATTCTTTACACGTTAATCCACTTATCCAAATTTTCGATCCGCCTGCAGAACGAATCAATTCAAATAATCGGAATTCTATTGTATATCGCAGAAACAGATGTCTTTAAAATAAATTATTTGTTTCACTTCCTTATTACTAAAACAGCTGACAGCGTTTGTTTCTTTATTGCATTTTTATTTAGTATCGCTGTATTGTATAAAATTGTATTCTATTAAGTTAAAGCGTACAATTCCGAGATGTTGCATACTTATTTTTTTATGTCAAGCCCTGGGTTGCGTGCCGGAAAAATGTCCTTGGCGTACCACGTTTGGCACGCGTGCCAAGGGTTGCCCACCCCGATCTAGACCACATTCTAATCGCACGCAGTTTCGCGCCGTCGTCGCTTCGATTTCGGTCGAAATATTTAATCAGAGGTGTCTCTTAGAAGTGGGAAACACGAACTTCGTACTGTTCTCTTCCGATCCGACGGATTCGGACACGACTAATTTGTATCCCGTATGTCCCGAAAAAATGACTATTTACTGTCACGTATAACAACTCAATCTTAGTTACTGGGAGTTAATAATGTTTTGAATTTATTTAATTGCTTAAAATGTCAAATTATTCATAATATTCTAATATTTCCGAATGTAAAAACTGTACATTTACGGACAGCAATTCCGAAAATGAATTTTAAATAAAAGAAAATGCACATTTTTAAGCGCGCTCTGTCCCTTTGCTCAATGAAGATTCATACCGAAGTTTATCCATACAATCAATATTACTGAAATCAGTAACGACCCACATTTGTTCCCGTCAACTCATCGCAAAAAACCAAAAAATTAATTCGGTCCGTTTTGGAAATATTCCCGTGAAAATATGTGTTTCTATGGAATTAACGAACACAGAGATTATTGTTCGGAATATGAAAATCAATATGAAATCACGTTTTATTTAATAATTATTCCGTTCAATTTACGAACCATTTGATCTTATGTCTAAAATTTAAATTTCGCGCGGATTCTGAAGTTCATTTGACGCTCGTGGGATGGCGTCGATGTTGCAATTTTTGTATATCATTTATGATTAGTGCTTGAAAAATGCGTCCAAAACATAATAGTAAATCTAATAGTGAAGATAAATGCTTCCATTCCATTCCATTATATAAAATCTGGCTACAAAATATACTCAACAATTCCGCTACATCGCATAGTGGTTCGGATCAAGTTTTTATCGCAAATTAATTGCAACTATTATTAACGTTGTTTAACTAACTGTAATCGTTCAAATTAAAAATAATTATACGTATAACAATAATTGATTTAAAACAATAGAGAGGTTGCGGCCGAAGTTTTCATCTCTAAAACGTTAACGTCGAACGTCGAGCGCCACTATCTTGTAAGCGGCGCTTGACGTTCCACGTTCACGTTTTAGAGATGAAAACTTCGGCCGCAACCTATTATCATTCTCTGTTCAGAATCGGACGATTTACGCTTGTCATCGACATTTGCGAATATATCCGGCTCATCGAGTAAAAAATGCCTATTAAAAGTGGCTACCTGGAACTTATACTATTACATTTGTTTGACGTTTCTGATAAAATTAAATAATTGAAAGATCTTCATTGGTATAAACTACAGATGATTTGCGAGTAACATGTCGTGGAATAAACTTAAAATATTTTTTCTTAGCATCCTGCGCTACTTTACCAAATTGTCCAATTGGTAATAAGGGGTGTTTAATAATTTCCCTTTCGTGAATTTTACCGTTTTGTTGCGGAGGACTTTATATTTAATATTTTGCGAATGGTAGACTGGCATACAGAACGAAGAATATTGTTCGATAAATAACTTCTTCGTTTACATCAATATTATTGATATATCCATTTGAAAAAGTTTTCAAAATGATCCCAAATCGACAAATAAGGTTTTAATTTGGATCCGTTATCTTTTAAATTAGTTCAAGATTGCGAAAAAAACATTCTCGCCGTATTACCATCATTAGTCAAACCGTAACTAGATTTTGTGATTGATCTACCAGAATTGTAACTTTCTGATTGTTTCAGACTTTTTTCAACCAGTTTTATCATTTCCTTTCGTTTGGCATTTATATCTGTAACTAATATGCAGCAAACATTCTAAGAATACCATTCAAGTATGGAGGTCGGAAAACCAGTTATCATTTTCAATTTCTAGCTTTTTTTTTTTTTTAGCAAATCATTTTAAAATTATTAATTTCCCTTGACTTTACATATATAACAAGTTTCAGTAGAAGTCATATTTGTTACTGTGTTATATATTTTTCCAGCGACCGTTGTTATTATTAAATTGTATCTAAAACTATAGCTCTGTTTATTTATAATGATTGTGGATCAAATACCGGAATACCGATATTTGATCCACAATTATTGCCGTGTCCGAAATTTTAAGAGTATGGGTTCTTCTCGAGGCAGATTCGGGGATTTTGAGTAAATGCGCCTTACTGCTTGGTATATGTCAGTCAATGGGGATGCACTGTATCCTCGCCGAGTTTGATCAAAACGTCATATCATCCCCTGTCGTTTTTTACAGGTCAGCTACCTTAGAATTATTATATTTCTTTTTATAAGCGTAATATTCAAATGCAGAAACAGGCGATAGAAACAGTAGCTAAAAATTCCATCGTCTTTCAGCATCGAATGTACTGTACCCACATACGGAAACCGGAACACGGAAATTCAAAATATACGCCGTCTGTTGCCTAACTGTCTGATTAAAAAAAAAAAATGGTGCTGGAGCGTGTATAGGCCTAAATTGAATTTTCATTCTCCATTTTCGATTATATCGGCAGTGAAATAACGCAAGAGACGAATTTGGGCGAGAAAGATATTTCGAATAGATCAAGATTAGGGATATCAAATACTTTCGAATCCAAATTATAACAATATTCTTTTGATGTAAGTTTGACAAGTTAATATTTAATCTCACATAAATAGAACAAACAACATTTTCTAGGTACTCCGATCACCATAGTTCAAATTTTATTCTCCCACGTGACGTTTATGACGTCGTTACAAAGCTGCCTTCCTGTTGGTGTAATTTATTACCGTTCCGCTTTCTGCGAGGCAAAAGTTGAAAACTTCCAAATTTGTAGTAATTCTGTCGACTTCGACGGTAAAAGTGACGTCATTTTACGTTCCGGTCGACGATTTTCGTCGTCCGTTTCCGCATGTCAGTACAAGCCTTCTGTAACCTAATTGAAACGTAACGTAATAAAAAAAATGTTAAACAATTCTTGTCATTTTTTTTTGTGAAAAACGACGAACGGGAACACCGAATATCGAGGATATTTCTAGATATTTACGTACAGTACAAAATAAATTGACACTATTCGAAACACTCTCTTCTTTCAGCCTATCGGTTCGGTTACAGTTACCAAAACATAAAAAAGGAGACAGAAATTGTTCCGTGGAGTAATATAGATCTTTCTAGACGAAAAAAGTTTACATTTTCTTACGAGAACGTTCTTAAACTTTTCTTTAGGACAGTATAAAATAACTGGCTTTGGCAGTCCTCGTAGAAGAAACGTTTCTGTTGAGCAGCAAAATTAAGATATTTGATTGGAGAAATCTAAGAAAAGGAACTTCCATCGAAGACTACGACACTGCATTCGACAAATAAAAAATACGTAACCAAAAATTATACCAAAACGATAAATGACGAAAAATACGTAACGATTAAATACTGACGTGTTTATCGACTATCATTAATACATTTGCCTTAATTGAAATTGTTTCATTAACTATCAATAAGTGTATTCGTTTTGAGAGAAATCAACGAAAAAAAAATACCAAACAATATTCCAAATAAACACTGATTTCCAATGTTTCTTTCGAGTATGCATCGGAAGAGGGATTGTAGTCCACCACGGACAGAACACACTCGTAGAATTGCTAATTTTACAAACCGATAAATCATTTATCAGGGAAAAAAGAGAAATAAATGAGACTAACGCGAAAACTTGGTTCTTCACTAATGATTATTCACTTGTCAAGATGTATTAAAAATAAAACGTAATGTAATAGTTTATTTCATCTTCACAATAAAAAATTATTATTGTTGTTGTTTTCGATAGTCGATAATTCACAAATTCTATAAATTCAATAATAATTTGTAATAAGACCGATAATTTTGTTTCAGTCGTAACATCGTGTTTATAGCATTTCTTTTTTTTATAACCTCACCGACATCTAACTTTCTCAATTTTAACACTTTCGCTTAATTGCAGACTCCTTCGGTGGCCGAGTGGATAATAAAACCACCGAACACCTGTGTCGGGTTTGTTCCCTCGTGTAGTGACATCTAAATAGGAGCCAGTTTCCCCATAGATAATCTTCACGGGAGATATAATACAGTACATCTTAGCAGATGGCCTCGTGTTGCATTGTCTTATCCTATCAAACCGAACCAAAATCGCTGCAATTGTACTGCAATAAGTGATTGAAAGTTCTGTCCGTTTTGTAAGAAGAATGAAAACAAATATATAAAAGTTTAAAGCTAGTAAATTTTAAATTATTATGGTAAGCTTTTTATAATGAGATACTTGTGTAATGAACATCGGGAGGTAGAGCAACCTCGAATAAATATAGCGACATGAAAATCAGTGTCGTTCTCGACCCAATGAAATCTTTGTTTCTCGTTCGAAAGAGCGGGCGGTTTTCCTTCGTCCCGTTTAATTTCGAAATTATAGAAAATATTTTCCAGAATTTACAATTTCTCTCATTTGCAATAGCTTCTACAAATAATATACTATTTTCTCGACATCCGGTCATGCACAGCAAAATTTTCTTCTCACGCAATTTTCCTTTTGAATAGAGAAAAATTTAGATTTTTAGACAAGTTGGCGTGTTTTTAACACATTCTTTAAAAAAAATGGTAAAAAAACAGAGGAAACTCGAATCTGTGGATAAAAATTGAGGCTTTTAAATTCACTTTTTTTACTTCCAATCATAATACTGTATGCTTAAAGAAAGCTCGTTACTGTTCGATTAAGAGACGACACACGTACTGTACAGTACAGTACGTCGTCACCCGATTTCTTAATTAAATTCTCGTGGGAACTCCCATTCGAACTTAGAATTTGAATATTCTTCAAAACAGTTCGATGCAATCTAAGTTGTTACGGTATTTCATCTTCGATTTGGTAAGGATCTGTTTCCAGTGTAGCTTATAACAAGTCAGTATCAACCCCCTAAGGTCTTCCACTACGTGGTATATCGAGATTAAAATCGCCTTTCTATAAAGATCCGCGTAACGAGTCTTCGCCATAAACATCGTTTACGTTTCGATAGATTTAAGCAGTCGTATTATTATTATTATTATTTTCTAAATTCACCAAGCAATATAACGTTTTCAGGTTGGCCGTCCAATAAATGAAAGACTACAATTACCTGTCGTTCTTTACGGAAATTCTTGCCGGTTCGACAGGCGCGCCACCTATCCGAATCAACGCGAGTTTTGAAAGATAAGAAACTACGAAGACGAGAAAAAGAATTAATATAATTAATGGAGTTTCTTCCAACCTACCATCAAATGGAAGAGAATCAATGCCGGAATCCGAAACGAATCGTCGGTCGAAGTCGCGTCCCACTTCGTTTTACGAGGAAAAGAGACGTTTTACTCCCTCCGAAGGAATTCTTCCTGGTAGACGTCACAGAAGAGCAATTCGGAAAACGCGAACTCGTTCCCCAGATAATTCTCGCCCGAATAATGCCCATTCGAATAGTTTTCCGTCGGAGTAAATTCTCTATTTCGAGTTATTTTCATAATTTCTCTCCTACGTCTACAATCTGACATGGGTTCGATCCATTCCCATATCCATGTCCATTTCCGAGCCAGTCTCGGAAAATAATTAATTAATTGCGGAGTTTAAATGAGGAATACTTTTGAAAAGAGAATGGCTAAAATGTTCCTTCATTAGATTAAAGGGTGGAAAAGGCAGAAGTGAAGCGACCGCGTTCCAGAAGTACGGTACCTGTTGATATTTTTCGATATTATTTTAATATTAACTACTGGACTCGCACGGAAAGCGGCTCTCGCCATCGCGTCGTCCAAGACGGACAAGTAATATCGCCTGGGAAAGTGACAACAGAGGAGAACACGCATACCCGTCGAATACTTCTAAAAGGACGAGCCAAAAAATGACAGAATGCGCAGTCGCCAAAGCGGACGATCGTCGACCGAAAGAGGACGCTTCGAATGCTGTCTTTACGTACGCGAAAGATAACAATTTCTTGTCGAATTTTCTCAGTGGTTTTAGGCAAAAAAGTCGAGACGCCGTTAGCAATATGCGAACAAAATTTACCACCGCCTCGGGTCTCGTTCGGACGCGCCGTCGGCGCGCGACTCGCCCGGAAATGGCCGCGGTCGTCGCGCACCTAAGGGACGCCACGCCCACTTCCGGTCGATCTCCGACGACGGCCGACGACGATCGACCGATCCGATCGTCCGCCGAGACGTTTCGTCCCCGCCTCGGAACTAGACCGAATCCGAATTACGAGGAGTAGAAGATTTGGATTCGGATCCGGACGACGAACGGCGCCACAGGACCCGCCAGGGACGAAAACGGACGGAGACTGTCCGGCCGCGGCGCGCGCTGCCCGAAACCGGATGGCCGGGTTTTCTTGGGAACGAAGAAAAACCCCCGAAACGCCAAACGTCTTTCCGCCGTTGGCCACTCTTCTTTCGGCCGACTCGAGAAACGCGCGGCCCGGCCGACTGTAGAGACGGCCGCGAAGGTCGAGAGGCCCGACGAGGAAAGGGCCCGCGGCCGAGGCATACCTGAGTCCGAGCGTCGGAGTCCATGGAGAGCAATCCGAAGCACAGGGTCCTCATGCGGTCCGTCTTTTCGGCACCCGGACTGGGCAGCGGGCGTCCGCACGGCGCACGTGGAATCTCCGTCCGAAGCGTCAGAGATTGCGCAGTGGCTCTGGCACGCGGCCCCGCATACCTGGCCGGCTACGGCCCGGGGCCACGGGGTAGAGGTGCGCCGGCATACCTGTGGCTGCCAGGGCTCTGGAAGGGACGTCGCGCCGGTCGACTCCGACTCTCTGGCCGCGGAGGGCTCTTCCGGGCGTCCGTCCCGTTCCGTCTCCACTCTCCCCGGACTCCGAGGATCGGAGAGCCCTTTACGGACCGGAAGGGATGAGAAGCGACGCCACCGCGCCGCCTCCGCTGTTCGGACGCGCGGCCACTGCGTTTGCCGCCCGGCCAAGCCACCGAGGCGACATTCGACGGAAATTCGTCGATGTCGTCGCCGGAAGGAGGCGCCCGGATCGTTCGAAGGAATTCGCTTAATGGCGGTCAAATGACGTATTTACGCGCTTCCCGTCTCGGCGGCCTACTGGCGCCATCTGTCGAGCGACGGAGAAAACGAAAATGACAAAAAAGAAAAGACTTAAAATCAATTATTTACTTATTACTTTTAAGAAACTGCGACTTTTAGCTTAGGAGAAAATTAAATTATTTTTCCTAAATTCAAACATTGAAGGAAGATATATTTCCACGTACTTTCGGATTCCCATTGAAGAGAACTCCGCTTGACACTTTTTGGAAGGATCCGAGAAGACGGGAAAGAAAGCGACGTGAAAGACAGTAGTCTGCCTCCCCGGAAAAGGTGCACATTCGAGTTCCGGTCTACTCGAAAAATTTCCTACCCGTCCGGCTCGCCTCACGTCTCGATCGTAGGGCCCAGTCGAATCCACGATAGGGAAGAAAAAGGCTCTTTTAGTACTCGCAGTAAAGTTAAAAGGGGGAACCAGGAATGTGGCGACCAGCATCGCTACGCAATGTTAAACTAAAACGACGATAACGTATTAACAATGGCGAAAGTAACGTAACGCGCTTTCTAGCGTTACGAAATCCAATGGGTGGTAAACGGTCGGGCGGTTTCGAGAACGCGAGAGGTTTCGTAACGATCGCGGGGTGGAGGGAAAGCGAGAAAATGTCGGTAAAGGATAAACCTTATTTTTCTCTTCGTTATAATCCGGCGATTGGCTGAATCTTTTTCTTTTTGAAAGAATCAAGCGGTGACGCATAACCGCGTTAAGCTAGAAGTTATTTACCTTTCTTATCATTAACCAACGGGCAATTCGAAGTCTGCCGATTTGACGAATTTCGAATATTTAGTTCACTCGTGGAAAGTTATGTCGAGTCGAATATGCACTTTAAATATACGATAAGAATTTTCGTGAAACGAGGACCGGAGAGGAAAAGTTTCGATTTTTGATTCTCTCGGTCGTCGTTTACTAAAAATCGGCCAAACCGTCTTAAAGTAAGTAAAAACAGCCACCGAATTTTCGTAATTCGTCCGTTATCGCGTGGTAAGACGAATACAGGAAAATATTTTTCTCCTTTGAAAAGAAAACGCGTTCTTTTCCGCGTACCCGCCGGTAGCAGAGTAGCAAAACCGCTAAACACCGGTTGTGGGTTCGCACCTGACCAACGGCTGGCCAAAACCGCCGAACTTTCGTTCATTCTGATTTCTTCACGCGGGCACGACGTGATTCGGTTTTTTAGATTTAGATTCGGTTTGCCGAGCTTAGCCAACACCAGAAATGAGGTCGCTAAGAGAAAATCGCTAGGGAAAAACAAAGACGGGACAAAACCACGTCGGCAGTTAAGCATTTCCAGACACGTTTTCACGCCTATCACAGGTTCGGCTAATCCCATAATCGGGGCCGGCGCTACCGTATAGGAAAACTAGGCATTGGCCCGGGACGGCAAATGACGAGAGCGGCAAATTTTATAAATTTATACAAAATTTTCGGACGTATTATTATTTTTTTTATATTACACGGCGCGAGTTGAGTATTGATTGACGGAGCAAGGTATAGTATTTCAAAACAAAAATTTTTTTCATTTTATGTTGGGGGACGAGGGCGTCAAATGCTTGTCTTGCCTCGGGCTGCATAAACTCTAGCGCCAGCTCTGCCCATAATGAAACAGCCAGGGGTAAGAGTTAGCGACCCACATATTCAAGTCAAATCACCCATGAAAAGTTTTGAAAATCCCACCTAATTGGGTTCCGTAAATAGCAGGTCCACACCTTCGGTACTTGGGCCCGAAGTAGGTGTTAAAAATAAACTTGTCGACCCCCATTTTATTGTATTGACTGGTGTTGGTGTTCACTTTCGATTGCCCGTTTGTTTCTCAGTTCTCATTTCGCGAAACGACAGCGAGAATCGAATTCTCTTAACGAAACATCAATCTCTCATTCCGCTTTGACTTTCTCCACGTACTGTACGTCAGCAAAAACTAAGCAAAAGGAGAAGAGAATGCCATAAATGAGCGTTTCTTCCGTCGAAATGAGAAACCGAATGAGGAGTCCGAGTAACTTCCGGTTAAAAATTTAGGAAAAAAAAAATTCCCTCGGACAATTCCGAAGACAAAACAAAACGGAGAAACTTTTCGCATTTCGATGCCGAATCTTTCCGTTTCCACCGATTACTTTTATGGGTCGGCCGCTTCTCCGTTTTTCGTCTCTCCGGAAGAGGCGAGAGAACGTCGCTTGGACCGAAACGAAAACTTTGGCGTTAGAAAAGCGACGGTACCTTGAGTATCCTGGCTCTGACTCGAATTCCCGAACGTTTATCCTTTTTGGTCCTCCTCGAGCGCCAGTCGTCGAGCACCGCGGCCGGCGACATCTTCGATGGTTTGCGGAGATCCGCCCTCTGTTCGGCCGTCTTCTTCGCCGCGTAATCCGACCCCGAGAGGGCGGCGGGCCGCTCGCGCCGTATCCGTGACGTCGCTTTGATAATATTCGAAATTCGATACTCTGGTATCGACGCCGTATTCCCGTTAGCCTTTGCGATCTCGATCCCGAACGACAGTCGAATCGAGTATTTCGCGGTTCGATGTCCGCCACGCCGCCAAGTCGGACGCGTGACGGAGCGATTCTTCCGTTCCGGCCGGCGACCACCAAGGGTTCCCGTTAGGATCGGCGTCGTTAACGCGTGGCGGGTGTCGCGTTTCTGCCAAGAGTGGCGTATTGCCCGGTACCGACCGGTACCGAATCGACGACTCGGCCCGTTACATCCGTTCTAAATTCGATACGGTCACTAGGAACCAACCAAAGTAATAAATGTTTTCTCCCAGTTAATAATTTCTTCTATTTATAACTAATTGATTAATTAACTTCTAAAACGAAATTATAAAAACCTAGCATAGAAAACATACAGAACCTCTCATTTCCGCCGGAAGAGGTCGATCGTGCGGACGATAAAATCGATAGCCTTCGATCGGCTATCGATATCGTTTTTCTAGAATCTTGCCGGAAGTGGTACTCACCTGTGGATCGGAAGCGGTCCTGGGAAAGGAATGCGGTGACGGCACCGAGTGTCTCCACCTCTTGACCCGACCGTCCCATTCTTCCGCCGATAAAGGATCTCTGCGGAAGGAAAGATCGGCGAGCGAGGCCGGAGGTCGAAGGTCGTTTCCGGTGGATAAATACCCTCCGGGCTTCGACGAAAGACTGTTTCGGTCTTTCTCTCGAGGTCGAACGATGGGTATTCTATCTCCGAGAGCGAGTTCTCTTCTTAAACTCTGCGCCGTGGCCCTGTCTTCATTCAGAGAATCTGAAAAAAAATACAAAAAGTCAATCGCGCATCCGATTTCTAATTGATTCTTTTCGAAAATAATAAAATTCCGCTTTTTTTATTTATCGGTTTTTCGGGTGAATAGCTCCTAACGGGAATGCGCGCAAAACAGATTGTACCGATTTTATTAATTTAATTATATTTATTGACAAATATATATTATACTTATCGTTATACTGCACCAATAATGTCAGAGAAAGGTCACAGCATAAATCAATGCTATTGCCATACCTCCCGAAAGGTTGCAAAAAACGAAAAGAAAAAAAAACAAAGATTGAATACAAACGTGTAAAAACTGGAAGATTACTTAACAAAAATAATTATAAATTGAACTTTAGAATACACCAATGGACGAATTCCATTTCCATCAAATCACACACGGCGATATGATATCATATCATATATCTCCGTAAATATTCGTAGTAGCTAGCTTCAGACTTATCCTTCGGGAAATAATATTAAACAGTTTGTGTTGTGTAAAAGCCGTCTCGATGTTTCGTTTAAATTCTTTTAAATCAATCTACAGAGTAATATTACAGAGTATATTCTAAATAGTTTGCCATTCACAGAATCGATGTTAGTCGGGGTCGACGACGTTTGTTCTAATTATAACAAATTAAAACGATATTCTTACAAGAAGTTTTTAAATTTATATTCCAATATGAAAGAAATAAGCAACTTCTCAAATTAAAAAAAAAAACAGTAAATGGAATATATAAGACAGACATACTAAGGATTCGTCCATAAACCACGTGTCTTATTTTAAAGTTTAAATAAGAAACAACTATTCTTGGTTGGATATAAATTCCTTAAGCGACAAAAAACAGACTGTTTTCTCTCTGATTTAATCAGTAAATATCATTCACCAGAGGTTCCCAACCTTTTTCATGTATCCACCCACTCCTTTTAAGAAAAAAATTTTTACCATCGACCCCCTTCGATATTATATAATATATATATAGGGGAGACCGGGGCAACTTCGGCATGCGGGGCAAGTTTGTCAAGCGCTTTTTTTTAAAAACAAATTAAAAGGAGACTTTGGTTATAGGTTAGGCAGTTGAGTTTTATTGNTTATATAATTTTAAATGTTACAGCTTCCTACATAATTTTTAAAAGGCATCTTCCTACATTTATTTGAAATTCCTGTATTCTTTTCGTTTTGTTCTGCGTCAAACAATGAAGAAAAAGTCCAACTGGCCAAAGAGTGTTGTTATTTAAGTAAATAAATAAAATAAGGAGGTCTCGGGGGCATCCGCAATATGCCGATAATTAGATTTTGCTTAAAATAATAACCCTTTTCTATCCAAACACCTCATTATGTACAGTACATAATTACGTGGAAAAATATTAAATGTGGAAACGTACCTAAAAATAAATGTAGTTTATTTTCTACATTTAGAAAAAAAAATATTTACTTTTTATGCCTATACAGTATATATACATACATGCCTATTTAGTTTTAATAAAATCGCAGGGCAAACCAGTTAATTAGTTTTACTGTATTGCAAGTAGCTGTTTTACTTAACACAGGCCATGCATTGATGTTGCAAGAAAGTCGGCTAATTTAATTGACTAACTGTAAAATCAATATACAGTAAAACCCCACTAAGTTGGACACCCGTAGTGAAGATCAAAAGTGTACAAGTTAGTGGGGTGCCCAGGTTAGAGAGGTGAGCGTTCCTGCAGATATGCACTGCACACATACATGCAAACCTCATTTACTGAACCCATGTTTTGTTGAATATAATGATCGAAAATGCATGTAAATATAATACTGTACTGTACATGTTACAGAGTTCAATACAGTATCATCAAACCAGCTTGTAAGCTGTGAGTTGTAATGTATTGTCTACACATACATAATACAGTATTATGCTAATATGACTTTTCATAGAAACACGCTGATATGCTGTAGTAAAGTACATTATTTATGATCAAATTAACATCTGGAAAAACAATCCGCTTTGATTCTTCAATCAATAGAAACATACTTATTTATACAGTAAACACATTGTGTTTACTGTATAAATAAGTATGTTTTTATTGATAAGTAATTTTTTTGCCAAATAATACTGTTACATGACATTGATAAATATGTGTCAGTCTGGACTTTCTCAGTTCCTTTTATATTTCTCCCCACCTTCTCAAGCACCTTCTTCGCAACATCAGGTTGACAATGTGCAAATGCATAACGTTCAAATTCTGTATTATGTACGAGGGGGAGACTGATAATTTGGTGTTTTCTGTTCCACTATTCTCCATGCCTTCCACATCATCCGGTGCATTATTTAATGTAACATTATCATTTCCACATGATTTTGCAATAATACTTTTCAGAATAATAGTTTTCTTTCCGAATCATCATTAAATACTATGAATTTCTAACACATCATTGATATATTAGATTTTATAGGTTAAGTGATCTTGTACTGTAATAAACTTCATACCATCTGTGAACAACTGCACGGATATCACGATCTTATTCTTTAACCCTCTTTTTTCCAAATCCCCTCCCTTTATAATAACAATCACCACATGCCATCTGTGAGCCAAACAAACACGCTTTAATCCGTCACTTACTGTCATTTTAGTGTCCAACTTGCAGCCACAAAGAATGGTTTAACATAGACAAATGCAAACATATAACATCGACAATAAGGTGTCCAGTTTAGTTAGGGACATTGTAATACATTATAACGTCTATAATTTTGTCCAGTGCAAAGAAGAGTGTCCAAGTTAGTGGAATGTTCGGGTAAGAGAGGTGTTCAACGTTTGAATTCTTACTGTATTATTAAATGCAGTATATAATTTTAAAAAGTTATACCAAATTCATTTATGTTATTAAAATAATTATAACTACTTGTTATTTTTATGTTACCCATTCCTCCCCACGTAGTCTTTTCTTATATTCCTAATGGAGACAAGTGATTTACGAATGAATCCTAACATTTAATTAACTTTGTAATTCCACTCTTTGCTCTCGCTCGTTGTCTTGCTTCTTTCTTTTTTGTAAACATCTGAAAAGGACTCGTGTAGCCACAATGTTAATTTTTAAATAATAAAAAAAAAAAATATTTCATTATATAGCTAACAGATGGCGCACGTGTTAATTCGTCAGCCACGTGTTGCTCACCCACGTGTGAATAACATCATCGAAAAAGGAATAACTATAGATACATTAGTATCACTTAAGACATCGTCCAGGAACTAACAAAACCGAGAGAATCTCTGACTGTAAAGGTAACTTAAAACCCATTTTTCCATAAAAATAATTTTAATATTAGATTCGTCCTTTTTTTACAGAGGTTTCGCATTGACGTTGTAACGCATAATTTCTTTTTTTAACATTTAAAATAATAGCACTTGTTTTTCGTCAACGAATTACGGACGTTAGGCGGGAAATCACATAAAATGTGATGAAGAAAGGACCTAAAATAAATTACGGAAAGATTATTTCGTATAATTTATTTATAAAACATCATATAAATTAGAATCAATTATTGGAGTTTCGCTTTTAGGTACAGTACAAACAAAAAGAGAAAAATATAATACGTACAGTAGTACATAATAGGGTTAAATTATACATTTATAGCCGATTATTTATGGTTTTGAATGGGTTATTTATACCTGTTTTATTTTCGGTAGGGTGGATTTCCGAATTTTTATACCAGAATAGTTATCCAATAGTTAATCTTTTCGGAAGTATGAGACATCTGTCTTCGACTCAAAATTGTTATAAAAAACATCTGTAATTACTACGTACTTGTTTACAATTCCAATGAATCCAGTTTTAACTAGATGATTGATGTGAAAAAGACTAGTTTCTTTTATATTACAGATAAAGATATTTTATATTATTTGTTGCCCATTCTTTTTAATATTCTATGTATCGTGGAATGTCCTGGATATTTCACTTCATATTTTTGTTGGAAGTAAACGATAAAAATGATTTTATCCGTGTTAACTCCAAGTTTATTAAAATTTAAATTAAGAATTAGATTTTATTCATTTCGGTACCTTTAATTTTACCAGAATTAATCAAGGATATATCGCTGGCAAAAACGATTGCGGGGCGATATAACCTTATAATATAAAACGTTAATGTAATTATTGGTATAAATTACAAGTACAGCTTAATTAGTTGTATTTTAATTCATATTTCAAACATAAAATCATTCTATCATATTTATTCGGAAGATGTTCAATTTTCTCCATAATATATCCTGATTTATTACTTAATAGGTTAAATCCAATTTTGAATATTATCTAAATTAACAACAGTAATAAATTGAAGCAATAAAAGAATTCAAAACCAAAGTTCCACTCAATCTTAAAAATATACACTCTTTGATAAAGAAGTTACGAACAAAGGAGGAGGTGTTGGAATCGAATGAAACTTTATTAGACCAGGTAAGCCAAAAACGTGTGGTAACTCGATGAAGACATTTCTGGACTGTACAGTCGGGCATTATTTGGCTGAAAAATTAGTGTTTGCAGACCCGCCGTGAAAAGCAATACATGAAGGTGCAGGATTTTCTGAACAGTAGTCAATGACCGACTATAATACGAAATGGTTTCTCGGAGCTGTTCGTGATTGTTTCACGATCGGACGATCGTCTCTCCTGGTATGGGGGTGTCCAGAGCCTGCTCGCAGTGTGTGTGTGCCCCGACGTATCCATTGCCTCAACACCTCTTCCTTCAGTCAGATCAAATGGCGTGCAGTTCGGCGAAATGGCCATCGTATTTCTCTTGGCACGATGATGATGGCACGTAAGTTTTTGAATGCATCGTACAGGCATATCTGACATTCAAAGAACTCCAAACAGCAGGTCCAGATTACAGCGACCTTTTAAATCAAAATATGCTGTGTAAATAGGCTATTTGAAATCCTCCGTTAAATATTTGAAGAGAGAGAGAGAGAAGTGGATTATTTATAGCACTTCCTGTTTTCCGGAGTGCGGTGTTAGACTTATATGATT